CCAAATTTGGGGCTGGCAGGTCTGAAGTGAAGGAGCCCTGGTTGCTCAATGGTTAAGCACTTGGCTGCTAAATGAAAGGTCAGTGGTTTGAACCCACCAGCCACTCCAAGGGAGAAAAGACTTGGCATATGCTTCCATAAAGATTACAGCCTAGGAAACCCTATGGGACAGTTTTACTATGTCCTGTAGGGTATGTTTGAGTCAGAATCGACTCTGCTGCACACAGTAACAACAAAAACAAAGCCATATACGTCAGGGATAGTATTAGAAGTCTTGTTATTAGATGTAAGTCTAAAGTGTTGGAGTAGGTAGGGGATGAGGTTGGGATTTTAAATCTAGGTAGAGACTAGAGAACAAAGATTTACGCCCAAATGAGATAGGTTCTGGAATAATGTTTCCTTTGGGAAAGCTGGGAGTGATGAAGGGACTAATCAGAAAAAGGGAACTGGAACAATTCTTACTCTGGCCTGATGAAGAGGCCAGCTGGCTATACGGATAGAAAAATCACATCTGACAAATCAGCTCTAGGCCAAAAATGTGTGTCAACTTGCCTAGGCCATGATTCCCAGTATTGTGTGGTTATCCTCCATTTTGTGATCTGATTTAATTTTCCTGTGTGTTGTAAATCCTAGCCTCTGTGTTGTTAATGTGGCAGGATTATAGGCAGTTATGTTAATGAGGCAGACACAGTCTACAGGATTCGGTTGTATCTTGAGTCAGTGTCTTTTGGGATATAAAAGAGAGAAGGGAGCAGCGAGGAGAGGGACCTCATTACCACCAAGCAAGAAAAGCCAGGAGCAGAGTCTACCCTTTGGACCCAGGGTCCGTTCATCAGGAGGTTCCTAGACCAGGGGATGATTCATGACAAGGACCTTCCCCTGAAACTGACAGAGACAGAAAGCCTTCCCCTGGAGCTGGTACCCTAAATTCAGACTTCTAGCCTCCCAGACTGTGAGAGAATGAATTTCTGTTTGTTAAAGCCATCCACTTGTGGCATTTCCGTTACAGCAGCACTAGATAACTAAGATAATAAGAGACCTACATGATGTTACTCAGTGAGAACTTTTAATATGGTTAATTGCATTTCCAGTTCATCTGTAATAATATGTGTGAGAACTACCTTTTTTTCTTTTTTTTAAGAGAGTTTATAAGAATTGTTTTATTCTTTTAGCTAGTAAGACTATAAAGTTGGAAGTGTGGATCTGGCACAGAACTAGACATTAGTGGAACAGAAAGCTCATAGATGCTATATATAAGAAAGCAATATAAGGATGGAATTGTAGAAATGTATCTATTGATATGGAAACATATTCTTAAGTATGATATAAAATAGTAAAGAAAGGACAGTCCCATTAAAGTATTATGTAAAAGTATAGACAAAAAGCCCAAAACAATTTCATCAAAACATTTATAGTTATTATGTCTAGATGGTAGGATTATGGATATAATGTTTTCCCTTTTCATTCATGTTTTTCCCCCCCCTAAGTTTTCCTTAATTTATTTGTCCTTTTTTAAAAAAAGAAAATGAAACTAACTTATTTAAACTTACAGCTTTATAATACTTGGCAGGAAATTAATATAATCTATAATACTTTCATTATTGAGCAAGAAAATAATGAAAATAAGTAAGCATTAACTAAGGGTTTTAAAGACTCAAATAGGACTAAGGAAAGTGGAGAATGAACTCATGTTTGGCCTGTGTTTTGTTTTGAAATAAAAATGCTGGAGATTTTAAGGAACAGAAAGAGCACAAATCTATTATTCACAGAATCAGGAATAAAAAAGAATATGGTAATTATTCTAGAGACTGTTATGTTTAGTTCTCCAGTAAGTTTGAATATCTGTATGATTAAAAAAAAGAAAAAAAAATGACTGGAAAAAATTTTTCTTTTAAGATGTCAGAGTATTACTTCTATAAGTCTCTAGCCCCAATGGTTTTAGGAAATGACTTTTTTGAAAAAAATGTTTGAAAAACCTATAATCCCCATGATACGTAGCCAGTGTAGAATGCAGAAAAGGAAAGCAGATACACCCCCCTGCCCCTAGTCTTTTTTTTTAATCCAGAATATCACTGTGATACCACAGTCGCTACATATAAAAGTAAAATAGAGTGTAATGATAAATGTAAAAATTTGAAGTAATCGCTAAGTCATATACTATTAAGTATAATTCAATGAAGGAATTCAAGAAAAATTTGGCATTAAAAAGGGCTTATTTTTTAATTTCAATTTTTTTTATTGTACTTCAGGTGAAGGCCTGCAGAACAAATAGTTTCTCATGAAAGAGCAGTACACATACTGTTCTAAGACACTGGCCAACAACCCCACGACATGTCAACCCTCTCCCTTCTCGACCTTTCCTTTTTTGGTGAAAATATACATAGCCAAAGATACACCATTTCAAAAATTTCTACATGCACAGTTCAGTGACATCGACCATGCTCTTCCAATTGTGCTGCTATTCTCACTTTAGATGACCGCCTACAAAACAAAATAGTTTCTTATTTAACAGTTAGTACACATGTTGCCCTATGACAATGGTCAACAACCTCACAACACAACAACACTACCCTTACTCAACCTTGGGTTCCCTATCACCAGCCTTTCCATCCCCTTCTGCCCTCCGGCCCTTGTCCCTGGACTGCTGTGCCTCATTGGTCCCGTTTGGTTTCATGGGGCTGTCCACTCCCCGGCTGAACGGTGAACCTCGGAAATGACTTCACCACTGAGCTAAAAGGGTGTCTGGGGGCCTTACTCTCGGGGTTTCTCCAGTCTCCTTTAGGCCAGTAGATCTGGTCTTTATTTTGTGAGTTAGAAAAAAAGGGCTTATTTTAAAAAATACACCTCAGTGGTTCAAAAAATGTTTAAAAACTCACTTGCTATTAAAGGGTGTTTGTAATTTTCTCTTATTACAATTATTGGCTGATAATTTTAGGCATGTAAGAGAAATATTGTTCCTGTAAATAATAATTTTATCTTTCCTATAATACCGGAGCCCTGATGGTGCAGTGGTTTAAGTGTTTGGCTGCTAACCAAAAGGTTAGCAGTTCAAATCCACCAGCCACTCCTTGGAAACAGTATGGGGCATTCTACTCTGTCTTATAGGGTTGCTATGAGTCGGAATCGTCTGGACGGCAACATGTTTTATAATATAGCCCCTTTAGTAGATTTTCAGGTTTCTAGGGGTGTGTGTGTTTCATGTCTCTGTTCTTTCTAATTAGATTGTAATCTCATTGCATATCAGCATGAATAAGTTGACTATAATATAAAATTATCATTCTCCTGTTTGGGGCTTGCCATATCCTACACATTCAGAAATTTGATGAATGAGTGAATGAATGACTTTACTAAATGGAAAAGTGCTTTTTTTGAGTGAGAAGACAGTTTTAAGAACATGTATGTTCTTCCTTATTGTATAATTTACATGAAGTTTCTTTTAAGTAAGTGTTGGAGCAAAATGATTCTAAATAATTGGTAAGGATAGTTTTGAAATGTTTTAAACATATAATGTAGGAGACACAGCATTGGTTTTTATAAAATTTCAATAATTAATAATTAAAATATTGACATTAGTGGAACCAGAATAAAGTCATGAACTGTCTTGGGTGTTTATGTGTATCGGTGGTAATTATATCTGTATATATAGGTTTATGTGTGACATACTTGGCAGTCAAAGTTGAGTTCCTTCCTTGAATACAAAAATACTTTTTATTTAACTTAAAGAATTAAATGTAAAAACATGTAAAAGTATAAGTATAATAAAGGAAAATATAAATGAAGTTTTATCTCATCACGAGGAGCGAGAACTTTCTATGTATATAAAACAAAACTTGATGGGAAAGATTGTTAGCTATAACTATACAAAAGATCAAAACATCTGTACATCAAAAGTTAACACCAAAACTAGATATAAAGGCAGATAAATAAAATGGAAGGGGAAAAAAACTTTTTCTTACTGAAAAATGGAGAAAGGAAATTCACAGAAGAGAAAACTGGCCGATTGTGTGTGTGTGTATATATGTGTGTGTGTATATATATATATGTACATATATATTTAAACTTTTAATAGAAATGCAAAATAAAGTAACTAGAAGTAGCATATTTAGTTTATCAGAATGGCAAGCCATTTTGTAATTAATAATAGTCTGTTGTGTTAGCAAAGATGTATACTTCTGATGACAGTAATGGTGCAACTCAGGGTAATTGAAGAGTCTGTCTCAACTTGTGAATATTCTTTGATCCACTAATTTATTTTTAATTATTGATCATAAGAAAATAATCTCAAGACTTACCTGGTTGCATGAGGGAATGCTCACAGTTTAATAAGCCAAAGTGAAAAACAAACTTAGATCAATTTTTATCTCAATTTATTTTACATGTACAGAAAAAGTTGAGAGAAATAACCAAAAATAACATCATTATCTCTGGGTAGTAGAATTATCGGTTGTTTGTCTCTTCATTGTCTTTTCCTGTGCCTTCTACATTTTCTGCAGTGAATACACATTACTTTTATAATCAGAAACAAACCTTTTTGGGGGGCATATAGAGAATGCTTAGTTTATTTCCTAAGTATTAAAAAAATTCAGATTAAAACAATAGTTCTTTTTGTGTGTAACTATTTTTAATTCTACACTTAGATTCTAAATGTTATCCTTTTAACAGGACAGAAGATGATTAAGATAGTTAATAATGTACTTTGGGACAGTTATGTGAATTTTGTGTAATTAGCTAAAAATTTTTTTACCATTTTATAAAATCTTTCAAATGTTTTTAGCATAATAATGGGTTTTTTACTTGAATACCTAGCACATTTCAGAGATTAAAAATATTCTTTGAGTGGATTTTTTTTTTTATTACTTTGAGATAATGAACATTATATTGTTACCAAAAGTGATCCTCCATTGGACCCATTAGTTTTATTTAAATGATTTTTTTAAATTTTTGAGTGATCTTTTTCAATATATAGCATTACCTTATAGTATTGGTGTTTGTGTTTGTCAGCCATATTTTCTGCTCTGAAGAATCTTCAAGAGAAGATTCGACGTTTGGAACTTGAAAGGATTCAGGCAGAAGAAAGCGTGAAAACCTTGTCTAGAGAAACAAGTGAATACAAGAAAGTACTGGATGAACAGATACAGGAAAGGGAGAACTCAAAGAATGAGGAATCAAAGCACAATCAAGGTTAGTTTTATTATGAAGCAAGTGGAACATTGTGTATCAAAATAGGTATTATAAAAGTATTCTAATAGAATTCCACATTAGTCTTTTTTAGTGGTTGATATCTGTGGACAATACAAAATGCATTGATTGTAGTCAGATGCATTTTGGGGAGCAGGTGCTGATGGCGTGCGGTACATTTACTGACTGAAGGCAAGGCCGATTGACTAGCATACAGAAAGAGAATGACTTAGGTAATCTGAAAAGATGTCTAGAGCTATTGGAAAGTGTTTATTATATACACAGATTTAATTTCTGTTAAACAGCTTGTTAAAACTGTTCTATGAGTCAGCTAATTTCTGCTTCTCATGTATTCTTTTTAGAACTGACATCTCAGTTGTTAGCTGCAGAAAGTAAATGTAATCTTTTAGAGAAACAATTGGAATACATGAGAAATATGATAAAGCATGCAGAAATGGAGAGGACGTCTGTCTTAGAGAAACAGGTATGGCACCTCACAGGTTCATACTCATCAACAGTTATGGAGAAAATGAAATTGAAATATAGACCTTTTTCTCAGTGACTAATAATGCTATTGTTACTTTAATCATATCTCCTTTTATCTTAAGTACTCTAAAGAAACCATTGGTAGTACTAGAAGTTCATTTTGGAAAAACTACTAGTTTAAGCTTTGAGAAAGATGTGATTTATTGTTTTTTTTTTTCAGCGTAGCTATTAGAGGAGCTTCCCATTTGGCAGACCCTCACACATACTGCCATGTCATCTGCACACAGCTTTGCTAGCTTCTGCTTTTGTATAGCATAAGAGCCCAGGACTGAAGTTAAACCCAAAACCAAACCAAACCCCTTGCTGTCAAGAACTGAGATTACTTGGAATCAATTATGGTGTCTGAAGGTTTGATTGGCTTTCTTCATAGCTGTTGTATTTGGTAGAGTTTTTTTTTAAATTGGAAGAAGACTATTGGAGTTTACCTGTTGTGATAGAACCCATCCTTTGCATTTATTAGCTGAATAGAAAACTTTTTCTCACACAAGATGGAAGAGTGCTAGGATTTGAAATAAAAATATATAGATTCAAGGATCAGCTCTATCATTAGTTGCTTGATCTTGTAAAGTCATTTTAACTTTTTTGAGCTTACGTTATAAAGTATGAATAATCATAGAATGTACCTCTGTTCCTTTTAAGTTTGTTTAAAGACTTAAATGGAACAGCAGATTTGAAAACTCTTTACAGTTGTTGTTATTTGGCTGTGGCACCCCAGAGGACTTTATTTATATTCTGTACATTTGTGAGAGAATGTCTGCAACTTCAGTCTCAAACATATATTTTTTAAAACATCTTTCACTCGTTTTCCTATTACAAACCTAGAATTTTAATTTATAATGAATAGCACAGTTTTTGGGCAACTTAACTTTATTATGGAAGCTTTGATTACTGCTAGATGTAGTGTAAAAGAGAAATTACATGCTTTCTACCCTCCCAATCAGCTGTTTCAGTCCTGGTTGGAAAGATTAGACCTAAAAGAAATGTTTGAACAATTGTACAACAGTGTTTGAGAGGATTCCTCAGTAGCTAATACTCATGTAGTATACAGGTCTCTTCACTGTGCCATATTATTTCAGTAACCATATTTTTTGTTTCCAATTGGGTCTGTATAAATCCACCTATATTTTGTCATTATTTATAATGTATTATTCTTACTTTTTTTTCTTTTATCTCAGTATGTTCTCGAAATTCTTAATTTTTTAAATTATCTGAAATTCTTAGAATGTTAATCCTCTCATTTGTACCATCTGCTGATTCTCCCTTATGGTGTTTTGTTTCCTTTTGGGAGCTATAATTTTTTTTTTTTTTAAATAGTGAACTCATTCTTTAGAGTTGTTTACCTTGGAAATCCCACACTTCCTAAGTATATAAACAACTTAATGGGATTCACGGGTTTTCATCCAGATTTATGTAAATTTATTCACTTAGGGTTCTCGCATCATGCATATTGTACATTGACAGTTATTTTGTGTCCCTGCACATTTTATATGCAAAGGCTCCAATACTGCTTCATGTCATATTTGGCTTCAATGTTTCTTCACTGTACTGCCTTTGAGTCCCTTTTTCTTTTTTACAACTGGAGATTGCACTTCTTTGCTTTCAAATTTATATGTAATAATATTATTGTGTTTTATCAACATTTCTATGTGACGGATGGGGTGATGTTAGTGGTCATTTCAGTCTGCACATTGGAAATAGCAATTTCCAGTGCCCAGGAAATAAACATCTATAAGACAACTGTAAGATGTCTTGACTAATGTATCTGGGAGTCAACTGTTAGACAAATATAATAGATGTCTTAAGATTATAGCACTTGTTTCATCAGTAAATTTTAGATAGCACTTTTAATAAGGTTAGTTATTATTAAGAATAGTTCCAGTACTGGCAATAAATCATGGTTTGTGCCAATTTTTAGTTAATGTATTCTTTTAAGAACTGTGAATATCCACTAAGGTGTTTAGTACTTTACACAAATTTATGATAAAATTATTTATTTATATTGCTTTGTCATTTTCAAATTTCTATTAGTATGATACCTATTGCTACAGACTTGTGTATGATGATAAGTTCAGGTACTTAATATTTTGGTTTTTTACCACTAGACTTTATTTAACATATTTCTGCTCTTACCCTTGATTAATAGTTTATCCTGTTAATTGTCAGTCCATAAATACTTTTAGGAGGTAGTCTTTTCAAATTCTTAACCCTAAACTTGAGTAAAACAAGGATAAAAGAAGATGTTTTACATGGAATTCAGAGGTGGTGTAAACGATGTCAAAGCCATAATTATTGTTTTAAGTGATTAACTACTTCAGACTAACTGAAAGTATTTGTGTGTGTATAGCCTTTCTATCCAGTAAAATTCTGCTATCCCAGGACAGAAGTATAGTCTCACTGTATAGAACCAAATACTGTATATGCATATGGTAAAAACAGGATTGCATGTGTATTTATTTATGCTCCTGTGATTTCATCTTAATATTGTTTTCCTGGAATTCCTGTGGGATCTTCAGTAGTTCTGTGGAAACCCAGACAAATCGCATACATCGCATTCTCAGATGCAGTGTCAGTAGTTTTTGTTTTTTGATTGTCAGATTATCACGCTGTATTTAACATTGTTTCCCAGGTTTCCTTAGAAAGAGAACGACATCACGATCAAACGCACGTTCAGACCAAACTTGAAAAATTGGATCTTCTCGAACAGGAGTATAACAAACTTACCACAATGCAAGCCCTTGCAGAAGTTAGTAAATGTGTCTTTCACTCGTTAACACATAAGACCATTTTTTTAAATTGAGTATATTACAGAACACAGGAATAAAGGGGATCTTTTTGCAAAGAAATACATAGGAGTTTAAAGAGAAACAAATGTGAATTCAGAGAAAATGTTCACATTTAAGAATCTTGGTGAGCATGAGGGAGTTCTTTTTGAAAATGTTGAAAGAGTAAATGACTTTTAGTATCCTTAAGGCTTACGTTACTTGGTTTAAGCTATTTTCTGAACTAATTTTAGTTTTAATTGATTCACTTGGGAGGTGTTTAATACCACTGAGGCTTAAGTTTCACATTCAGCCTCCATGTAGCCTGTTTACTGTCATACAGAGGTCTGTTCTTTGGCCATAGATTTTAACCATAATTCCATCCAGCTACCTCACAGCTACCTCACAAATGACTAGTAATTGATCATAAAGCAGAGTGTCATGGATGCTGGCAAGCCCATAGTCATTACCAAAGTAAACTCACAGGTTTATATTTACTGTGTTAAAATTTTAAGACACTTTCTTATGTTACTATTTTATGTTAAAAATTTTACAAATAGACATTAAGACTTTTTTTTCCACTATTAATCCTTTTTAATGTTCTTTTCACTAGAAAAAAATGCAAGAATTAGAAGCAAAACTCCGTGAAGAAGAACAGGAAAGGAAACGTATGCAGGTTAAGGCAGCCCAGGTATGTTGAAACGTAAGCAGGTAGGCTCCACATATTTTTACTGCTTTTTATATATAAAGAAATGATTACATTTGGGCATCTTAGATTATTTATCTTGTAATTAGCCTATAACGTGGGAAGTCATGAACATACATTTTTATAGGCAAGGAGTAAATTTTGAGTGATTCTTATAGATTAGTGTTGTCAAATTGTGGGGTTTCAGTCAGTATTTAAAAAAAATTAATAAACTAGAAAATATCAGGGACTATACACATAATAAAGGGGTCCTGGTGGTGTAGTGGTAAAGCCCTCGGCTGTTAACCTAAAGGGTGGCAGTTTGAACCCACCAGCGGTTCCACGGGAGAAAAGACTTGGTGATCTTCTCCCATAAAGATTTCAGACTAGGAAATCCTATGGGGCAGTTCTACTCTGTGCTATAGGGTTGCTATGAGTTGGAATTGACTCGACGGCACGCAATAACAATAAACACGTAATAAGGTTAGTAATCATGTAAAACTTATTTCCTACCATGGGTCACTATCAGAAATGTTCAGAAGCCATTGTTCAGTAACCTACTTGTAGGTGCTTACTTTTCCTTGGTGGCCTGAAGACACTAGGACAGAAATTGAGGTAGTGGACTGCCCCAATAGCTTAGTGATTCAGGTCAATTCTCGGAAGCCACCATATCAGAAAAATGAGCTCTACTTTCTCCTAGTCTGGGGTTTTATACCATGTAGTACATACCAGGTAGAGTAGGTGAGGAACTGTGATTCACAAAACATTGAGTTTATATGTACCAACAATACCACATTCCTAGAAGCCATAGTAAGACTGCTGTATCCCTGTAAGAGTCTTACTTATAACTCAGTAAAGCATTTCTTTTTATACCTGAAAACTCTTCCCCCTATGAACTTAATTTTATTTGCTGAAACACTTTCCAGATGTTCTCTCTCCCTTTCAAGGTTTTTAAGTTGTATAACATTTGCATGTTTTTTTCTCATTAATAATTATTATCTTTATTAATAATTATTATCTCATTATATTAACACAAGAAGTAGGTTCTGATTCCAAAACAATTAGGAGTGGAGCCTCTGCAGTTCAGTCTGTGGTCAAATGCCAACAATTTCATGGGGTCACTTCATATATATGATCCACAGGAATATAAACCTTCTGTTACCTCATCATTTTGCCTGTTTCCTCCAGTGCTTCTCTGAATTCATTGAGTTAATACATTCTCTTTTTATTAAACCTGTTTTATTTTTCTTCTCTAAGTATTTGCCTTCTGATCAATTTTATATATATATATATATATATATATATATAAATGTACTTTGAAACAGATATATATATTTTAAGGGAGCCCTGGTGGCATTGTGGTTAAGTGATAACGGCTGCCAACCTAAAGGTCGGCAGTTCAAATCCACCAGCTGTTTCTTGGAAACCCTATGGGGCAGTTCTACTCTGTCTTCTAGGGTTGCTATGGGTCGGAATCGACTCAGTGGCAACTGTGCTTTCTCAGTTACATAGCCATGTAGCTTTATTTTTGGCCACCAACAGATTTTGAAATTATGTGGTTTCTCTGGCTATTTCCATTTTAGAGTAGGCCATTTTCTTGTGTCTCCATTTCCTCACTTGTGACATGAAAACTTACAGGTTGTGCTTAGATACATTGTGGTGTTAAATTCCATTGTATATAAAATTAAAAATTAAACAAGGTTATTATTTTATGAGTTTATTTAATTTTGTAATTGTATTTTCACTATTTCATTTAGCAGGCAAAAAATAGGGACCAAATCAGTTATTACCAATAATATATCAGTAAAAGTTTTAAGCCTAATGGTGAACATTATTGTAGTGGAAGAACAATGGCCAAGGATGTGTGGTTCCAAGTCTTGCTAACTCTTAATTTGTGTAGCCTTGGGCAAGTTATTTAACAATTTAGAGTTTGATCTTCATTTTATATCTTGTTAATGGTCGGGGAGCAAATGGGATAAAAGAGAATGAAAACACTTTTAAAGTGTTAAAAATCTAGCACACACATATAAGGCAACTACTGGAAAGTACTTAATAAGCTGAAAGTTAAAATATTAAAATAATTTTTCGTTTTTAATGCTATTCACACTCATTAACATCATAGGTCTTCCATAATAGTAATTTTTTCATTGAATTTTATCTAGTCAGTTTGCTATGAATAAAGCATTTTTACGTGTGTGAAAATGTATAGATATTCCTGAAGCTAGAGCTACCTGGATTTCTTTGTCACCAAATAGATTCTGTCCCCAAAGAGTGCAATCACTATGGAAAGTATTAGCAATGATCTAAGTATTTCTTTACTAATCCAGTAGTTCAAAGTGTTTGTTCCAGCTCCATCAGTTTCCTGGTGGACTTTTAAAATACAGATTTCCCTAATCTGGGTTGTTCAAAACCATGAGGTCTGGAAAGGAGCCTGGAAATCTGAATTTTTCTTATAAATTTAAGACAGTTTTGATACACAGAAACCCTGGTGGTGTAGTGGTTAAGAGTTCAGTTGCTAACCAAAAGGTTGGCAGTTAAGAGTCTACCAGGCACTCCTTGGAAACCCTATGGGGCAATTCTACTCTGTCCTGTAGAGTTGCTATGAGTCGGAATCGGCTCGACGGCAACAGGTTTTGGTTTGATTCTAGGTAACTTTTTTTTTTTTAAGGCAACTTGAAAGCTGAAGGAAAACAGTCCTTTTTTTAAATCGTTTGTAATTATGGAATTTCTACCATGTAGATAAGAAATTATTTTTAAATTAATATAGAGTTACTAACTTTTACAGAAAAGGGCTTGATAACATTCACAGGCATACTTCCAATTTTCTTGGACATAAAGTTACAATTCATTTCTCTAATATTGTAAGTGTATGAGTTTTTAAAGAAGACGACAGTGTATTTTGCTGTACAGCTGCATTGTGCTTATTAGCACTATGGTGTACATGCCATTTGTGAGAAGAAGAAAATACTGAAGTATCAGTTGGAGTTAAATACATTGCATTTAATTCATTAGATAAAGTTCATTGAGCAGCTACAAATAATGGAGCTGAAGTGTTTCAGGCTAAAGAAAAGAGAAATGAACAGCAGTTGAAGATAAAGTGAAAGACTGGCATTGATTTAAAATACTTACTAAATGTTGACATGGTTTAAGACATAGTTGCATAGCTGTGACATGTTTTTCAGTCAGATACTACTACTGGTTTTTACCGGCCTTTATAGGACACATCTCAGATTTTAATCAGCTTTTATTTCTGCATCACTAATTCTAGGTTCTCATATTTTTCCTAGTTGCAAACTGGTCTAGAGACAAATAGACTTATCTTTGAAGATAAAACATCTCCATATGTTGGCAGTGCAAGAAGAATTAGAAAAAAGAAGTCAAAACCACCAGAAAAGGTATGAAAACAGAACCAAGTAAGTCAGAGTGCTGATTATTACTTGATGTAATTTATGTGAAAACGCTCAAAGTGTGTGGTACTACAACCCATGGGGACAATAAATCTTTTGCTCTCAGTTTCTTCATTTAAAAAATGAAGATACATAATATCTACTTCTAAATTTTACCCTGATAGTAAGATAATATACATGAAAGCATTTTGGATCTATTAAAAACCAAAACCAAAACCCGTTGCCGTTGAATCGATTCCAACTGATAGTGACCTTATAGGTCAGAGGAGAACTGCCCCATAGAGTTTCCAAGGAGTGGCTGGTGGATTTGAACTGTTGACCTTTTGATTAGCAGCCAAGCTCTTAACCTCTATAAGAAACCGAAACCAAACCCGATGCCATTGAGTCGATTCCGGCTCATAGCTACCCTGGAGGTGTAGTGGTTAAGAGCTGTGGCTGCTAACCAGAAGGTCAGTAGTTTGAATCCACCAGGTGCTCCTTGGAAACCCTGTGGAGTAGTTCCACTCTGTTCTATGGGGTAGTACTACTCTGTCTTATGGGGTCGCTATGAGTCAGAATCAACTCAATGGCAATGGGTTTAATTTTTTTAACCACTATAAAGCACTGCACAAATGTCAGTATTATTACCCAGTATTGTAATTAATTACCCTTTGCCCTTAAAATGTTTGTGTGTGTGCATGTGTTTGTGTGTGTATACACACACACAGTTTCGCAGAGTATAACTGCCTTTTTATCAGGTACCTTTTTTTCTTTCCTAACCTTTCCTAGTTAGTACTGGATACATGCTAACAAGTATTATTAGTAGCTCCATACCATAATGTCAATCTACATGAGGCAAGTAGTCGCTCAGCATTAAGCTAAAGGTTCAGGTTAGTCATGTATTGTCAGCTTTTATCAATATATAAGTAACTATTTTTCTTTCCTTTTCAGAGAGGTTCTAGGAACTGTTTTGCTGCACAACCACATTATAGATTATGCTTGGGTGATATGCCATTTGTAGCTGGAAAGGTGAGTTGGTGGAACTTAAGATATTTTTGTAGGTCTTAGATCTTCAAGTTAAATCCATTCATCTGCCTGTATGCCAGTAAATGTTGGAAACATTTTCTTGCTCCCTTTTTCCTCCTGGATTGTAGTAACAATGAGAATGAGATGGTATTATGTAAAATATGTGTTGTAAATGGTAACCTTTATGCCTGTGGCTGTAATCCCATTTGGGACTGGGTGATCTTTGTTATGTTAATGAGATAGGATTAGTGTAGGCCTTGCTTTAAGTCTGTCTCTTTTGAGATATAAAAGAGATCAAACAAGCAAGCTAAAGGAGCAGAGATTGGGTAAGATAGATACCAAGACACATGGAGATCTACAAGGAACTAGGAAGTAGAAGCTCAGAAAAGACAAGGACTTTCCTCCAGAGCTGACAGAGAGACAAAGCATTCCCCTAGAGCTGGCACCCTGAATTCAGACTTCTAGCCTCCTAAACTGTAAGAAAATAAATTTCTGTTTGTTAAAGCCACCCACTTGTGGTTTTTCTGTTATAGCAGCATTAGATAACTAAGACAGATGGGAAAAGATTTTGTGGGGTGAGAGTGCAGGGAGGGAACTAGGGGACACTTTAGAGCAGATAATGTATATGTGGAAGGGAAGCAGTGAACAAAAGCGAAGACCCTGCTTTGAAGAAGGTGTGGTTGCAAATAGAGATCAAGGAAATAAGAAGAAGTATATTGTAGCATTGGATTTTTAGTATCTACCATGTTAATTTAATGGGATGATAGATCTCATATCCAGATTGTTTCTAGGACTCATTCTCCAAGAAGCAGTCATACAGAGGCTTAAATCTTATGTTCCTTTGATTCTTATTTTTGGCAAATATCAGCAAGTCTTGAGTGATTTCTGATAGGTGCTTAACACTGATAGTTTATACTTTTTTTTTTTGGTGAACTGGTTTGTGTGCTGGTTGTTTCATGTATAGATGCCTTGAATGCTTTGTGAGTTTGAGAAGCTTAGAGAGTAAATGTTTTCTTGATTTTGTTTGTTCATATTTATTTAAAATCCATAGTAAACCCTCAGTAAAACTTAGAGAATAATGTTTTCTAGCTTTTCCCTTTATTCTTTGTAGATGTGTGAGGCACAAATCATGTTTTTAAAAAAATACACATATATGTATTTCCATCAGCTTCATGCTGTCCTTTGCCTCCATGCTGTGTTTTTTAGATTTCACACCATCTTTTGACCTATGTTAAAGCAATTACTAAACCCACCACCAATTTACTGAATTGGAATTCTTTATGTATGGGGCCCATAGAAGTATTTTTAATGGTTTCATAGTCTCAGTCTGATGTTCAGTCAGATTTGGGACCCAAACTCTGGTGGCATAGTGGTTAAGAGGTGTGGCTGCTAACCAAAAGGTTGAATCCACCAGGTGCTCCTTGGAAACTGTATGGGGCAGTTCTGCTCTGTCCTGTAGGGTCATTAGGAGTCGGAATCGACAGCAATAGGTTTTTGGATTTCGATAGTATAGTTCTGCAGTCCAGTGTTTTCATTCCATAAACATCCAGACAAACGATTGTCTACTCTATTTGAATACCTCTACTGATGATACCCCCTTATACCTCAAACAGCCCTTCACATTTCTAGACAGCTTTATTGGACAGTTGTTCCCTAAGATGAGTTGAAATCTACCAGTTTATAGATTCTATCATTGGTCTTCTGCCTTCAGGGATACACGTAGACCAAATGACTACAAGAATATTCTAAAACTTTTGAAGATAAATTTTTCTTCATATCGCCTTATTCTCTTCTGGATTATAAATATCTTTTTTCTATTATAAGATGTGATTTTTTAGTTTCTTTCCACCTCATTACTCTCTTCCTTTCTAAACTTAATAGCCCTCTAAGCATGGTCTGACTATCACAGAATAAAGTGAGTCATGTTCTAGATAGTCTGTTAATTCAGCCTGGCTTCACATCAAGGTTACAGGGGCAGCCACATCATCATCACACTCATTGATTCTTGAGTCAGCTGAATTAACAGGTTTTTTTCCCTTAGTTTTTTACATCAGCCTCTTTAGGTTCTATACTTATGAAGTTATTTTTTTGTTCTCCTTAGTATAGAATTTTTAATTTAATGAAGCTTTATTTATAGGAATAGAGTCACCTTACCCCACATTACAACGTAGCTCACTCTTCCATTATATTTTTGTTATCCCCACATTTGATCGCCTATCTTTGGTAGTTCTCATTAAAGTCATTGATACAAAGGTTGAACAGGACAGGTTCAAAGAAAGGACTTATCAGCCTGAGCTCTTCTTTTGAAGCTGTTTGTTATTCCTTTGTACTCTTTGGTAAGGATTATTCAAACAGCTAAGAATGTGCAGTCATCTACCTGAGTTTTTCTCAAATTATCTATCATGAAGGACCCGTTTTTAATTTTAATTTTGCTTTGTCGTAGAACAGTACACACCAACTGGTAAAATACAGTGAAAATGAATTACTAGAAAAATGAAATAGAGACACAAAATACAAGTCCCAGTTTTCTAAACTAGACTCAGTAATCATAAAATTACATTAATAAATATCAGAAAAAAATAATGAGAATTTCATAAACTATACATTGTTTATGGAAAGTGTGCATATATAAAATTATTGTAGTGGATACATATTACAATCAGGAGTGAAATAATGATTCTCCATATTAAATGCATATTTTCACACTTAAACACTATGTATATCAGCATTTAAAGTTGTTAGTGAGACAAATGAGTTTGGTTCTTACTAATCAAGGTTGTATTGGTGAGTGTTACTTGGGAGAATTTATATCTAAACTGTATAATTATAGTTGAATTTAAATTATCTTAATTTTTTTTAACAGATTAACTTTTTAATTTTTAAATGATTATAGATTCACAGGAAGTTGCAAAAATAGTACAGAAAGGTTCCATGTACCTTTACTAAGTTTCCCTTAATAGTATTACATCTTACATTAAAAAAAAACCAAGCCCACTGCCGTCGAGTTGACTCCGACTTATAGCAACCATATAGGACAGAGTAGAACTGCCCCGTAGGGTTTCCACGCTGTAAATCATTACGGAAGTAGATTGCCACGTCTTTCTCCTGCAGAGCAGCTGGTGGTTTCAAACTGTCGACCTTTTGGTTAGCAGCCGAGTGCTTTAACCACTGGGCCACCAGGGGTCCTTCGACAACTTACATAACTATAATACAATGTCAAAATGTATATATAGACTTGTGTAGTCGGCACCACAGCATCTTTATAATTTTCTTTTATTTCAAGAATATTATATAAATGGAATCTTGCAGTATATGACCTTTGTGATTGATTCTTTCAGCATAATACCCTTGGTTTCCATCAAGCGGTGTGTATCCATGGTTCTTTCTTTTGTTGTTGAGTAGTATTACATGGTATAGATATACCAGTTTGTGTAACCTTCACACCTGAAGGACATTTAGGCTGTTTCCAGTTTTTGGCTTTTACAAATAAAACTGATACGAACATGTGTACAGGTTTTTGTGTGGACATCAGTTTTCATTTTGGGGGGAGTAAATGTCCAGGGGTGTGATTCCTGGATTCTATGTAAGTGTATGTTTAAGTTTTAAAGAAAATGCCAAACTGTTTTCCAGAGTGGCTACACCATTTTACGTTCCCACTGCAGTATCTAATTTCTCCATATCCTCACCCCCATCCATATATCATCTTAGATAAAATATCTGTATGTCTCTTGGCCTTTTTAAAATTGTTTATTTATTTATCTTGTTGAATTTTGAGAGTTCTTATATATATTCTAGATTCAGGTAATTTTCTCCCATTCTGTAGTTTGTCTTTTCATCCTCTTAATGGAGTTTTTCATGGAACAGAAGCTTTTTATTTTGAATGAAATCCAACTAATTGATTTGGGGAGGGAGGGCTTTTATGGATCATGCCATATCTAAGAACTTTGCCTAGGGCTAGATCCTGAAGATTTTCTCCCATGTTTTCATCTAAAAGTTGTATAGTTTTACATTTTAAATTTAAACCTATGATTCATTTGAAATAATTTTTTAATACAGTGTGAGGCTTATCAGGTTAAGGTTCATTTTTTATTCTGTTCCATTGATCTATATATTTATTTCTTTGACAGTATCACGATACTTATTACTGTAGCTAATATTTTAAGTCTTAACATCAGGTAGAGCAATTCCTCCCTCTTTATTCTTACTTTTTCAAAATTTTGTTTAGCTATTCTCATTCCTTTGCTTCTCTATATGAGTTTCAGAATAAATTTATCTGTACCTACAAAAAAAGGTTGCTGGAATTTTGATAGGAATTGCATTAAACCTATAAATCAGTTTGGGGAAAATTGACATCTTTGTTGAGTTGCCCGTGAACATGATATGTCTCTTATTTATTTAGATCTTTGATGTTTTTTATTAAGTGTTTTGTGGTTTTCAGCATACAAGTCCTGTGCCTGTTTTATTAGATATATACCCACGTTTTTTATTTTTGGGTGGTTATAAATGGTAGAGTTTGTAATTTTGGTGTGTACTGTATTTTTATGCAAATGCATGCCTCTGCATTTGTTTGCCAGCTGCACCCTCACCCATGAGGCACCCCTACAAGTGGCACCATGCCAATCTTCTTCCACACATTGCTGTAAAAAAAAAAAATTAGCGTAGCGCACTTAAAGAAACTACCTCGTGCGGGGAAGGCAAAGCCGGCAAGCGAACAGAAGGTGTGTGTTATTTGCGTAAAAATACAGTACATGATTATTGTTAGTATATAAAATACATTTGATTTTTGTATATTGATCTAGTATTTTGTAGCCTTGGTGAATTCACTATACTAGTCTTAGGAATTTTTTTTTTCTGCTAGATTACTTGGGCTTTTCTGTGTACAGAATCATGTCATCTGCAAATAAGGACAGTTTTATTTCTTCCTTTCTATTTTGTTTGCCTTTTATTTCCTTTCTTGCCGTATTACACCAGCTAGGATTTCCAATACTGTGTTAAATAAGAGTGATAAGAGCAGAGATCCTTGCCTTTTTTCCAATTTTAAGGGGAATACATTCATTCTTTCATCATTAAGTATGTAGCTGTAGGTTTTTCTTAGATCTTCTTTATTGACTTGAATTCTGTTTCTAGTTTGACTGAAAGTTTATATCCTGAATGGGTGCTGGATTTTGTGAAATGCTTTTTATCAAATGATACAGTCATGTAAATTTTCTTCTTTACTATGTTGGTGTGCTAGATTACTTTGATTTTTGAATATTGAACCAGCCTTGCATTCCTAGAATAAATTCCACTTGGATATGGTATATAATTCTTTTTATATGTTTCTGGGTTCAATTTGCTACTTAACAAGAGAAAGTAGGATAAGAAGAGCATCTGTCTAGTACAGCACAGTGGTTTCCAAACATGACTGATAAGAATCAACTGGTGGACCTAAAACTACACACTTCTAAACGCTAACCCCACACTGATTTAGTCTGGAGTGCTGCCTAGGAATCTGCATTTTAAACAAGCTGTCTAGATGATGTTTAGTAGAGCCAAGTCAGGCCAGCCATCGGTAAAACTGGTCTAGCACGTTGAAATTGCTATTTAGCGCTCAAAACAAAAATTTTTGAGAAGGCCTACCAGGTTTTTCCTTTTTATGTTGCTTATGTGACATGCATGTGCTTAGTGCTTCCAACTACTCCAGGGTACATAAATAAATACAATAATGGCCCGGACTGTCTGGAGGTACAGTTATGCAAATACAGTATATCATAAATGCTATGATATAGATATGTAGAAAGTGGTATAGGTAAACTGAGAATGGAACAATTAATTGCTTGGAGGTTTTAATGAAGCCTTTAAAAATATTTGAACTGGGTTTTAAAGAATGGTGTAAAAGTTGCCACACAAGAAATGGCAAGTGTAAATACGGTGTGTCGAAACAATGAAAAGAGATTAGGAGTCAGTGGGACATGAGCTCAGGGAGTGTAGGTTGCAGCTCAGTGATGTGTAGGACCTTGTTTTCCATGCTAAGGAGTTTGGACATTATAGTCAGTGGGTTTATATCAGAGGATTTCAAATAGGAAAACAACACGATCAGAATCATATTTTAAGAGTATAGCTGATAGTACTGTAATAGTTTAAAGATGGAAGAGATTGGGAGCAGGGAAACCAGGTGAGATATTCTTCTTATAGCCAATAGAGAAGGGTGCATAAACCAAGTGAATAACACTAGGGTGGAAAGTAAGAGATGGATTCAAGATATTGGGACTTGGTAGACTAGGACATTTATGTCATAGCCTTTTGGAGGGATTGTTTTTACCCAGGTTAGGGAGAAAATAGATTTAGAAGATGTGGCTCCAGTAACTTCTTGCTTTTATCATTTTTCTCTCTTTAGTCCACCAGTCCTAGCCATGCTGTGGTAGCCAATGTTCAGCATGTCTTGCATCTAATGAAGCAACACAGTAAAGCTTTGTGCAATGATCGAGTAGTCAACAGTGTTCCTTTGGCAAAGCAAGCATCTTCACGATGTTGTAAAAGTAAGAACCGTCCAGTAACACCGTCTTCCTCCAGCACCATAAATGAAGAGTTGTCAGAAGTCTTACAGACTTTACAGGATGAATTTGGGCAAATGAGCTTGTGAGTTGTCTTGTGTTACTTTGTTTTTTTTAATTACATGTAGTTCTAGAACCTTGTTTTGAATTTCTTGGTTGAGTTTTTTAATTCTGCTTTTTGTTTGTTCAACAAATATTTGTTGAGCGTAATACTTGCATAAGGCACTAAGCAAGTTACTGGGATTTTAACAAATACCATTAATTATGGGAGAGACCTCTCCCTTTTCTAATATTAAATGTTTTGAATGCCAAGGCTTAAATTTATGTGTTCTTTCCTTGTCTAGGAGCTTGATATACATTAAGTTTAACTAAACTTTTAAGATATGTGTGAACAAGAGCCTTTTGTAGACTTTCCTTTCTATGTATGTAATAATCTTGTGGAGAAAATAGGAATATAAATGGTTAGGTCTTTGAAAATAAGAACATATTTGTCTCCAATGCCTTGAAATTTTAAACTATGACTGATAATTTAAAATTTTGTAGCTTTGTTTTGCAAAATATTCATTTTTTTAATGCACAAAGCAGTAGCCCTATCGTGAGTGAGGTATAGTGGACCTAACCATGAAACTGAAGAAACTTAACTAAGTCCCACTTCTGCTTTGTATGTAGTGATCACCAGCAGCTAGTGAAACTTATCCAGGAGTCACCAACCATTGAACTGAAAGAAGACTTAGAGTGCGAACTGGAGACATTAGTTGGAAAGATGGAAGCAAAAGCCAATCAAATAACTAAAGTTCGAAAATACCAAGCCCAGGTAACTCAGTTTTCTTTCACTCAAATTTCTAAAGATTAAAAAAAAAAAAACTTTTCTTTTCTCTGAAACATATTAAGTGGATGATTAAGTGGATGATACTTTGTGTCATAGATAGGAAGCTATAGGGGTTACTTCAAGTTCTTTATCATATGAATAAATTTTAACTTTCATGAATTTAAATGGTTCTGAATTTACCCAAGTGTTTTAAAAAGCACTTAGAAATGCCCAGTAAGTCACATACAAGTATGTGAAAAAATCTTCAGTTATATTTATGTTACTAATCACATTAAATCAATAAAACAACTGTTTACTAAGTACACTAGGACATTATCCAGGGAGTAACATAATGATTTGTGTATTTAAGAGACTGCTTGGGACAGGGAAGTGGATGGGAGAGATTTAGGCTGGGAGACCAGCTAATCTGTATCAAAGGTGGTGTAGTCACTTGGACTAGGAGATGACTGGAGCTGGGGAGAGGTGGACAGATCTGAGGTATGTTTTTTAAGGTGAAATATTAGAGCTACTTGCTGCTAGATATGATATGGATGGAGAGAAAGGATTTATCTTGAAGGATGGTGGTACTGCTGGTTAATGTGGAGAAGTCTGGAAGCATAAAGAGGTTTAGCTGCCATTTATTGATTGGTTGCCACATGAAAGGCACAATGCTGTGTGCTTTGTGCTCATTTAGTTTTCAGGGAAGGCTTATGAGGTGAGTTTATTGTTCTCATTTTATAAATAAGGAAATTGGGGCAGTTTCTTGGGAGGTAAACATAACCAGTTGCCATCGATTCAACACTGACTCATGGCGACCCCATGTGTGTTAGAGTAGAACTATGCTCCGTAGGTTTTCAGTGGCTGATTTTTCAGAAGTAGATCACCAAGCCTTTCTTCCAAGGCACCTCTGGGTAGACTCAGACCTCCAACCTGTTGGTTAGCAGCTGAGTGTGTCGTTTGCACCACGCAGGGACTCCGGGGTAGGTATTTCCTCAGTGAAATTAAGTAATTTGCCCAAGGATATATTAGCTTACCAGTGCCAACCTAATTTTATTCTCTCTAGTGGAACACCTGGGTGGCAGAAACAGTTAAGTGCTTGACTACTAGTCAGACGGCTGGCAGTTCAAACTCACCCAGAAGCACCACAGAAGACAGGCCTGGGGATCTGCTTCTGAAAGGACATAGCCTTGAAAACCCTTTGTAGCAGTTCTACTCTGGCAACTAACAAAAAATGGAACACCAACATGCCAACAACAGTTAGCTAAAGTAAAACTAAAGCTCCCTATTTAAAATAGTGGAATAAGAATAAAATTAAAAACCCTTTTCGTAGTAGTTTTACATTACCAGTGTATCTTTCATGAATCTGGAACATGCTTCTTTGCCTGCTCAGACTAGTTTCTAGAATGCCTTTCTCCTCTCCTCCATCTGTTAAAATCTTCCCATCCTTCAGTTCCCCAGATTTTTTGCTTCTTCCATGAGATGTTCCCCAACCACCCCTGCTTCTCATTCAGCCTATCCTACGCTTTGGCAACACTGTCTTAACTTCTAATACAGCACCAGGATGGATTCGTTTACTTGTTTGTGTATCGTTACATATTTTAACCACTTGGAAGGCTGGATTATTTTTGTAATCCTCCACAGCATCTTGTACATAGTATGGTGCTCAAAAAAAAATGTATTTTTTGTTTAAATGAATGTTAGATAGTAGATTTTTTAAGCCTTTTAAAAAATATCCTGAAATGCATTATTTGGTTTTTATGAGCGTTAAAAGTATTGGTTATCAGAACAGACCGTTTTCATTAGTCTCCTTTCCTTTTTACTGCCGGGGCTGTTTGGTACAGTTGGAGAAACAGAAGATCGAGAAGCAGAGGAAGGAATTAAGAGCCACCAAAAAGTCTCTTGATGAAGAAGGAAACAGCAGCAGCCGTTCTTCTGGAACCACGGGGACCACAAATAAGAAGGACTTTGCCAAACTGAGACCTGGAGAAAAAAGCAGGAAAAATCTTCAGTTATTGAAGGACATGCAAACCATACAGAGTTCATTACAAAGCAATAGTTTGTCGTGGGATTACTGACTGGTACCAGGTCAGAAATTTTATTCAGATAATCTGTACTTCATCAATCAGATGTGACAATTTACTTTCCAGGTCTCATACTCCCTTTTGTTGGAATTAATTGATAGCACGTGTTAAGGAACACAAGCTTCATCACACAGGCTTCTTGTGTTATACAGCACGGCTGAATGTTAAATCATTTAAATGGAAACCAGGGGTTTTTTAAAGGTCAAGAAGCCACATATACTCTTTTCGTTAGGATGGATTTGCTGTACTGATATATTGCACTTTGTAAACAGATTACCAGTTTTTTACTTGTGGGTGTGATTTTTTTAAAAAATAATTCTTTATATATCTAATAAAATTAGGTTTGAATTATCAAAATATGAGGCTATCCCATAGGCAGTGTTTGCTTGAGAAGTCTCACTTTTAAATCTTCCCTGGCATGTGAAGTACCCATTCCCCCTTTCCAATGAAAGCATTAAATGTACTTTGACTGTTGATGTAGGTTTTCTATATTTAAATATTTATACACATTTAAGGGGATTCCTTTCAACTCCTCCATTGGTGTCTTCTCAGAGGCTAAGTAAAAATAACTCATTTCATTTCCTTCTGAGCCCGTATCCTCCCTATTATTTTGGTTTGGTTTGGTTTTTGGCATTACAAACATTAATCAGTATTAAATACATTTATATTGCTTTTATTTTTAAATCCACTGTGAGAAAACCAAAAGGAGAAAAAAAAAAACCCAGTCATTTTAAGTCAGCTACCTGTAAAAACTATACAAATATTTTTTAAAGTTTAATGACATTTTAGAATAGAGTGAGAATAAGAGAAGAGGGCGTTGTAAAGTATATACATTTGCTGTTTTTAAGTAACTGCAATCATGGTATTCAATCAAGGCATTATGGTTTTTAATCCTGAAACTTCGGAACCCCTTGGATATTTGTTTTTATTAGTGTACAGTATGAGTGCAGGATTTACTGTACACATGCATTGTCATATTAATAATGTAAATCATAATTTTGAATAGATTAAGACATGTTAACTCTATAAATTTGCCACTGAATTTGCCAATAAAGCAGCCTCTTTTAAGGAAACCCTGAAACTTTCCTTAACGGCCTGTTAATAAAGGCGTTATTTGTTGTAATCTCAAAAAAATGCATTTTGAAATAGGGCGTTATTAACATTATCAGATACAATAAGAGTATTTTGGTATTCAGATACAATAAGAGTATATTGGTATTTAGTACATAATTTATTTCCCATCCTTGTGCTTACACAGAAACTAAGGCCAACAAGGTTGAATTGTCTCATGGCATGTAACGAGATACCGTAAGAGTCTAATGAACACATTAACCACGTTATTAAAAGAATTCCTTGTTATGCCTTCCCTGGAATTGATTGAAGAACATGGAGTTCTAGGATTATATCTAGACAGCCAGCTGACTTGTTGTGGCTGCCTGGGCACTAGGCTTGTCAGGCCTCTTACTGAATTTTCTACAGTTGAAGTTCCTAATCTAGTGTTTTTAAATAGAATTTGGGGTATTTGTAAATCTCATAAAATTGTATGTCAGCTGTTGCTTGCATGTCCAGTTTTCTGATGAGCCAGACTATAGCTTCATTGAATTCACAACAGAGTCTGTAGACCCAAGGAAGATGAGAATCTGTGCTCTGGTGACTTAAATATTTATGTCTCAACCACTGTTTCAGCTATTAAACTTCTGTTTGTTATCTCTGTTTGAATTTCAGGTCATTAAATTGTGTAACAATCACTTGAATTGTAATGGCTGCAAGTCCTAATTAGGAGAAGAGTGATTTAATAGTGATAAAACCTACCCATCCCTCAGCTAAGGTTCAAACCTAACTACCCATTTCAACTTTTGATAACCTCAGGCAAGAACTGAAAACAAGAAAATACCACTTCAGTTTCCTGTTCTGAGTTTATAGCAGAGGAATAAGTATGTTTTCATACACCCATTTATGTTGTAGCAAAGTTCTGTTACAATGCATTTCAAACACAATTACATTTGGTTCTTGTTATTTGCAGTAGTTATGTTCTATAAAGGCCCTGTGAATACTGAATTAGAAAACATGGAAACAGCTTGTTTGACTTAGGCTGGGAATTTTTCACCACTCTGCACATGTCTGCGAATGACCGTGGAAGCACCAGGAGTATTTTTAGCGAATAGCCAATTTGCAAATATGGAATCTGCAAATAATGAGGATCACCTGTATCTTCTATGTGAAAGATGCAATGTGGATGCCAAACTTAGAAGAAAGGTATGTTTACAGGCTGGTGGTAGGCATCTGAATTGTTGAATACAGTGTGGTGAATGCGGTGGTAATAGCATGTGTACTGTGCTAGGAAAGCATAGAAGGACGCGGGCACAGCAGAGAGGGGAGTGATGAATCAGGGATAACTTCCTGGAAAAGGAGATGATGCCTAAATTCTAGAGAAAAGGAGTTAGCCACAAGTGAGAACAGAGTTCTGGGTAGGTAGGACAAAATAAACTGGAACAGAGGTGGGAATCTGCAGTTTACCCTGGGAAAAAAGTTGAGGTATGCAGATGAGCAAACCTGGTAAGCAGAGACCAGGTTACAGGGGGCTAAGGAGCTTGGATTTGATCATGCGTGATCTAAACTTTTTGTCCGTGATCATAAAGGAACCAGTGTTATCTATACAACCAACATCCGTAGATGTTTTATGTGTTACTGTAAAAATGGTGTGGCGACAGCATCAGACCACCTTGTCTAACTTCAGGACGAAGTTGAGAATCATTATCGCCATCACCAGCCCAAGTCTGATTCCTATGAGGCAGAGGTCAGACATACCTCCTCTCTTTAGCCTTTTTAGCAATTCTGATACTAGCCGTCCCTCCCAGGACACTGGACTTCTCTGCTAGGTTTGATAATTTGTTGCAATGACCACACACAACTCAGACAATACTCGAGATTATGGGGTTTACAAGGGAAGTAGCAGGTTAGAATTCAGTATCAGAAACAACTTGAGAAGTTCTTTGATCAGGACAGCCTCTTCTCAGCCATGTCCAAAGGCAAGGCTCTCTCTCCAGCCCTTGGCCCCTCAGCCCAGCCTCTGCCCTGCAAGTGTTAACAAATCTCTTTAGCTTGCCAGTGAGTGCCCAGAGGCACCCCAGTCCACCAGTAAGCCTCAGCCTAAAGACTCCCAGCTCTCGCTCTGTGGGTTGGGAAGCCCACTGCAATGCCTCGTGGTTCTGCTGCCAACATTTCTCTGCCGCTGCTTCTTGCTGTCTCTCGCTGTCTCCGGTGTTATAGCTGTCTGTCTCCTGGGTCTAGGAGACTCAGTGCAGGGATCCTGGGTCCAAAGGACACGCTTCACTTCCTGTCTCTTCTTTTTGATGGTAGTGAGGTCCTTCTCTCCACCTCTCTGCTCACTTCTCTCTCCTTTTAGCTCGTCTAAAATAAAAGGTGTGACTCAAGTAAGGGCCTGACTTGAGTAAGGGTGGTGACTTGAGTCACACCCTCTAGTCAGGCAAGGTGTTCAGGACACATCCCACCCTTATCCTGCCTCATTGATGTAACTGACGATTCCCTCCCAAATGGGACCATAACCACAGGCATACTAGCTAGGATTTACATCAGAAAATGGAGGATAATTACATCAGATTACAAAATGAAGGATGACTACTTCATTACATAACTGCCAGATTACATCATTACATAACTGCCAAACCACTGAAAATCATGGCCCAGTTGATACATAACTATCACAGGTTCCATACACCTTATTTGCATAGTTCCACCCAATGTGTGTCCTACCCAAAGACTGGCTAGAAGGGCCATATTAATTCACTGCACCAGTTAAAATATATACATACGTAATACTGTGTGTGTGTGTGTGTGTGTGTGTGTGTGTGTGTGTGTACATACACATAAATATATAGAAACCCTGGCAGAATAGTGGTTAAGAGCAATGGCTGCTAACCAAAAGACAGGCAGTTCAAATCCACCAGGCGCTCCTTAGAAACCCTATGGGGCAGTTTTACTCTGTCCTACAGGGTCGCTATGAGTCGGAATCAACTCGACGGCAATGAGTCTTTTATATACGTGTGTGTGTGTATATATATATTATATATATATATATAAGTCCCTGGATGGTACAAATGGTTAACACACTCAGCTGCTAACCGAAAGGTTGGGGGTTCAGATATACCCTGGAAGAAAGGCCTGGCCATCTGCTTCCAAAAATAAGCCAATGAAAATTCTATGGAACACAGTTCTTCGCTGACACACATGGGGTTGCTATGAGTCAGAGTTGACTCAACAGCAAATTGGTTAACTGGTTACATAATAAAATACAACTGTCAGTCCAAATATTAAAAGTTTTATTTGTGTAGATAAGTATGTAACAAAGTACTAATATCCTACCGCACACATACATACCAATGGATTGTCTTAAATACTCAAGTGCGTGCACTCCATATAGGAGACTTCTGCAGAAGGTGAAAGGGGAGCCACTGGAAAGTTTTAAACAGAGAAGTGACAGATTTGCACTTAGATTGAATTATAAGAAGTTGATTTTTATCCTCAATATCTTGATCTCTTCAGTCATCTATGTTCTCTTTGTGGTATCAGACCAAGATGATAAGGGCTTAAATGAGGACAGTGGTGGAATGGAAAGGAGAGAATGGATTTGTGAAATAACTGGAGTAGAAAACTTAGCTTTAATACTGATAGATTGGCCAATTAAGTGCCCTGTTATAAATTTTCTTAAATTTCACACAATAACTAAATCATTTTGTTACTGATTTTGCTAATAGTGAATGTACGGATACAAATTACTTTCCCTCACTGCAAGACCAAAAGCAGGGTTAAGGTTCAGACTGCTGTGAATTAACAGATGAAAAAAATACTATATTTTTTAGTACTGTTTGAGTATTAGAGAAAAAAGATTCAAACTGTTTCAGTTTGGGATGGGGTGCTAGAGACATCCCTTTCCTCTTCAAAAAACTTCTAAATAAAACATTTCTGCAAAACAAACTTAACGCAAAAAACTAGGACAAAGTTTAAAAGTCAGTTGCAATTTTCTTTTAATTAAAGACCCATGGGACAAGAAGCTCCTTTGTTACAGTACTTTACATATGGCTCTTATAGAGTAAAACAGACATCAGGGAGTCAATGTTTACATAGTGCTAAACTCTTAACTGTAGCAGGTGAGCAGTGAAGCAAGATTTCCTTTACTGGCATTGAGACTGTAATACATCTTTACATGCACTGTGTTCTTTGGTAGACTTAATCATTCGTGGAATTATAGAGTTTGCAAAGAAAAAAAGTAGTAAAATATTTTATGTAAAATTTGAGCACAGTACTCTATTTTACCATAAGCTATTTATAATCAATCCTAATAAAATTTTTAAATATTGTCTCAAAATTTACCAATCCTCTTGTGTTCAAAATTGTAAGTAAAATGCAATGGGGTAGATAATGAGTTTTTAAAACCTTTCATGATGTTTCTGGTAACTGAGCAAATGGAAGCTAATCTCAAGGATGTGGAATTCTTTGAACTGAACAGCTACCACTTTCTCTCCCCCACTCACCCCAAGCACTTCTATAAGGCATCATTTTGGAATAGCTATCTAATATATCTTAAGTATATAAATGACATCAGTAATTGTCAACTACTACTACATAATATCCTCAAGACTGCTTTCACTATATGAAAAATATGGGTGTTGAAAGGTGATCAAAGAAATCAGTTACTACATAAAAGAAAAACCCATGATGGAGGAGGGGGTATCAGATGATTTGGATCCATCATGACTTCAAGGTCCAAATATATATGATGGCGTGTTGGGTTGGTCTGGACACTGCGATGCTACTCCCTCCCTCTGTGCAATGAGCTCTGTCCCATCAAGAGGTATGTTTCGGAAGTGGTTTTACCAGATGCCAAAATCTCTTAAGACAGCACCTTCCTCTTAAAATCAGAAAATGTTCCACTGCAGATCCAGGATTTAAACATTTTTGATATTCTTTGGGTGCCTTATTAGTGTCATAATAATGTAATTATATAGTGTTATTTCACCTGAGCCACCTGCACTGCTAAACAATTCTAAACTCATTCTAGAGAAATTTAAAATAAATAAAGTGACTGAACTTCTCTCACAGATGGGTTCCAAAATCAAAAGACTTTCTATTCATAAAGCTGCCGTGGTAGTGAAGAGTTTGGGGTGATGGTAACCCCAATCAGACAGTCCATTCATACAACAGTTTGGACAGGAGTGACACACTGTGCAGGAGAACTGGCTCTCTCTGAGGATGAGGTTGATCGGTTCGAAATCTCTCTCTGTAGTTCCTCTACTTTTTTCTGAAGCTCTGCTCGTTTAGCAAGAAGTTCTTTATATCTGTTGTGAATGGGCTCCTACGAGAGCAAAACACCATTAAAGCATTAAACTAGGCAATCCTAAATAAACCCAAAATCAAATAAGTCTGGTATATAGTTCTTTCCCTAAATGCTGCAAATGTTGCAATGTGGTTTTTTCAGCCATGGGGACCAATCTCACACTCAGTGGAAATTAAATTCAGTGACTTACAGGTTCTACTGAGGCCACAGATATTTCACTGGCTTTCCCAATGGCCCTGGCTAGTTCCAAAGAATAACCGCTGTGCAGATGCTCCTGGAACTGGTACTTTTCCAAACACAATAATTGAGCAACAAGACAATTTAAAAGCCAATACCCAAAGATTCCCTATCATTTATATATATGTCTTTTAAACAGTCTAAGTAGTAAATATTCCATAGCATATTTCAAAATGGACCAGAATTCTGTTAGGCTTTTAGCTTTCCTAAAGCAATTTCCCCAAAAATATTAAAACAAGACCCCTATAAGAATCCAGAGGAGGGGGAGAAAGGACAAATTAAAGTGATTTGTCCAAGGTTATACAAGCAAACTCAGGATAAGAACCAAGTATATCAATTACCCTCAGAGTAATAATTTTTCTACTATACAATTTTAACTATTAATGAGTAGAGGGGAAAGTTCTGAAACGCATATATAAATTTTCCAGGTGTTTTAAAGGGGAAACCTAATAAAGGTGCATGGATCAAAACTCCCACTGTATATAATCAAAGGAAGAAATACCTGTGGTTTCATCCGTGGATTCCACCTTATGTAATATCCCACCCAGAGCTCTAGGTGGCGCATACTGGCTACTGGATAAAGGACATGATTGGAATAGCTCCCATAGAGAGGATTAGTGAAGTCTTCAAGCTGGCTATTTATGTAAGACCACAGTGACACAGTCCTTTTGAGAAGATTCTATAAGAAGAAAAAATAAGTAAAGATTCTCTACCACATAAGCTATTTATACTTTAGAAACCTAATATTATACATGAAATGTATAGAGTTATTTTGTGGTCATTAAAACCTCTTTAGAGGGAAAGACCTTGGACACTTGAGTGATAGCCCTACATAATTAAAATCAGAGGATATTGGAAAACAATCTGCAGTTCCTTAAAAAGTTGTAAGTGCAGAGTTACCATATGACCCAGCATTTCCACTGCTATGTATTATACCCAAGTAAATTGAAAACGTCCACACAAACACCTGTACACAAACGTTCATAACATGATTCACAATAATGGGGATGGGGGGGCATGGTCCATCTTTTACCTCTTTTCCTCTCTGCTGTTCACTATTACATAGGAATGTTCCAAATAAACAGCTGTATAGGTGGTCCAAAATGGTAATGAGAAAATATTCACTGAATTCAAATGCTGTAGGAAACTGTAAATTGAACACCACAAAATTAAGACATCCTTTTGAAGCATATTCATCCCTGCACATGGGCAGATCCTTTCCAACAGTTTTAGAAATTAAGATAAAGAAGATTCAAACATACATCTTTCTAAGGCATTATTGCATTATTTGCTTGATTTTCTGTTCAAAAATCACTTCACCATTTTTCTGAAATAATTTCTCCCCAAATATCCCTTTCACATGCAGTATGACCATGATATTTCTATATCCCCAAAACCTGTTAACCCTGAATTTGCAGGTTGCTGAATTTGGACTTTAGCAATTCTGGAACTCTTGTCTTCCTCTGCCAAAACTAATTATAAACACAGATTTTTCTTTACATTTCCAGCAACATATGTTTGTTTTCAGGAGTTACACAAAAAAATGTCCATAATGTCTCCAGAAAATGTGAGCAATGCACTAAAATAAATATCCAAGGCTTATGTGTAGGTAATTTACAAATCAACCTACTTGTTTTTTCAAGGAACATCCAGTCACACTGGAGTCCCTTATAATTCAGTATACTGGTAACAATTTTTCTAATAAAAAGGAAATTCATCCTCTCTCTAACCCAGGACAAGGGTTTTATTGACTGTCTAAATTTTATGCAATTTTGGGGGACTAATCAAAGGAAGAATTATGACCCCAGAAAGGTAAACGGTTTAGTTTAATCCGTCCTATCCATCAAATATTTCCAGAATTATTTGGAAGCTTCCATGTAAGATTGTAGCAATTATAGGGCTGTAAAATGGAATTCCATCAATTATTGGATTGCAGATTGGGGAAATACATTTTATTATCAAGGTTTTATTTCTTAGAAAGATTTCTATCTAATATTGGAGGAAAATAGCATGAGCTGTATGCAAAAGGGAAAGAGGTAAAAACAACTTTGTTTTGAAATTTCCTAAATTTAGGATACGATGGCAGGGTGAAGTGGCAAATTTCTCTTCTCAGAAACAAAAAAAGGGGAATTATGCCTTAAATCATTTTTGTGTCTGTGAAGCTAAATGAAGCAGGTGATCAAACATATGCCAACAACAAAAAGCCAACTAACTGTAAAAACCTTATTAAATCACAGTCACTTAAAAAATGTCTCATCTCCTATATTTGTTACACACTCTTAGTCTTATTAGCCAAATATGAATGCATCCTGACTCATCTGGAATAGCAACACAAAGGAGCTAAGCCTGTGATTAGCTTTTCATCTTTCTTTTGGTAAAACTATTAGCTCAGTTACGAGAAGACAGCTTAATTAGTCGGAGTTTCCTCAAAATGAAACTAAAATAGCAAAGCATTAACTTCCACTGTTGCTTTTATTTTGTTTTTAAAAAACAGGAGAGGAGGAATATTTTGTTCTCCCTGCATGATTAAAATCTGAAGGGCCCTTCATCAACTACTTCCTGATCCCAAGAGTGAGGAGATGGCGATGAGGCGGGTATAGGACAGGTGTACAATCTAATTACATCATGATGAGTCCCATTTTGACAAATGTGCTATATATGTCTCTGCACTAGTATTCAATTACTTATAAAACTGATCATTGCTAATAAATATTATGGATATCTAATATGTTCTGTGTTCAGGAAGAAAAACATAACTAGATGTCTAAAATAAAGACTGTCCACTATAAGGTATCTGAACCATTAAACCTGTTGCCGTTGAGTCAATTCCAACTCACAGCGATCTGAAGTTCTACAAAAGAAACAGAAGATTTAAACTGATTTTCTATTATTAATTTAAGCCTAAAATTACCGTTAAATAATAACTGATGTTAAATGTTGTTGTTGTGTGCTGGTGAGTCAATTCCAACTTATAGTGACCCCATGTGACAGAGAAGAAATGCCCCACAGGGTTTCCTAGGTCATAATCTTTACGGGACCACATCACCAAGTCTTTTCTCCCATGGATTCACTGGTGGGTTTAAAACACCGACCTTTTGGTTAGCAGCCACATGCTTAACCCCCGCGCACCAGGGCTCTTTAATTTAAGCCTAAAATTAGGATTAAATAACTGATTTTTGATATACAGCACATAAAAAGTTAAAACAGTTGCTGACGAAAAATGTACTTGTCATGTACTCTTTTATGCAGATAATGAGCGTGATTAGGAAATGTGATTGATTTTTTTCTAACATCAGAACTAATATATTTAATATATTAGTAAATATACTGCTCCCTTCAGGGCATTCCCTTTGGAATGCAGTACACCTAACCTCTCACTTACTATCTCATTATCCAACATTCTGCATCTATGACAACAATGAAAAATCTACTATCTGACTATTCTGTGCATTAACTATGTATGTCCGGCAGTAACAAACACCGAGGTCAACTTGGCTAGGCTACGGTGCTCAGTTGTTCGGTCAAATACCAGTCTAGATGCTGCTAGGAAGTAGTTACATGTGATTAAATCAGCTGTCCTTAAGTTAAACCACACTACCCTCCATAATGTGGTTGACCTCATCCAATCAGTTTGAAGGCCTTAAGAGCAAAAATAGAGATTTTCTGAGGGAGCATACTGCCTCCAGACTATAAATAGACATTTTGCCAGAATTTCTCTCACTCTTCTACTACACAACCTGCCAATCTTGGGATACAAAACTGCCAGAATCTCCAGCCTGTCACCTGACCTAAATATTTCAGACTTGCCAGAGCCCACGATCGCATGAGCCAATTCCTCTTAAAAAAAAAAAAAAAAATTTAAAAAAAAAAATCACTCTCTCATACACACACAGACACACACACAGACACACACACACAGGCACACATACAGACACACATACACACAGATACACACACATACATGTATCTTACTGGTTCTGTTTCTCCAGAGAACTCTTTAAGAACAGGAAGAAGTGAATCACATACCTACCTTGCCATAATTTCTATCTAAAGATATTTAAGATATTTTTCTCCCAAATAATTAACATTACTTAAAATGGGATTTTATTTTGCTTGACTTACCTAGACTGTTTGTTCATTTCTTTACCTCTCTTAACAATGTAAGGATGAGCTTCCAGGTGAGTGTGTTCATATTATTTAACAGTAACTGCTCAAAACAAAGGAGGAAACCTCTCAGGGACTATTATCAATGTCACTCACATTGAAATGCGAATGAATCAAGTTGTCAATTGTTTAATACTACTCCACAAAATAATAACCTTTAACTTAAATTCAAAGGAGTCCCGGTGGCGCAACGGTTAAGCGCTTGGCTGCTAACCAAAAGGTTAGCAGTCTGAACCCACCAGCCATTCCATGGAAGAAAAGACCTGGCAATTTGCTTCTGTAAAGATTACAGCCTTGGAAACCCTATGTGGAAATTCTGTAGGGTAGCTATGAGTCAGAACTGACTGGATGGCACACAAAAACAACAACTTATTCATAATGTGACAATAAATAATAGTCTATCACCTGGAAACTTTACAAGAATTTCCCTTTCACGGCAAATGGAGGTTAATAATTAGTGACCATGTCTCCCAACTCTGACTGGAAGGTCTGAAGGAGATATGTAAGAATGGATATCCCACGTAAGTTACCTGTCTTGTCATTTGCCAGACACAGTCAATAAACTGAAGAAAAACAGGTGATCTGTCTGCATCTGCATGGTTCTTATCTCCATGGCCAACTCTCTAAAGTAAAGACAGTAAAGTACTATATGAGCTTTGAGGAGGTTTTCGGCTTTTGTTTTTTCATTTTTAATAAAAATAATTCTATTTTCCAATAAAACTAATATTGAACACAATATAAAAAATTTTAAAATCTTTTTAAAAGGCACTGCAAATAAGTAAAAAAACAAATCACACATAATCCTACCAAGCAGAAATCCTATATTAACATTTTGATATACAAACTGCTAGATTTTTTCTGACATGAGATGCCTATAATAGGATTTACCACTTTGATTAATAAATGAAACCCAGACCCTAAAAGGCTGATCATAAAGGACAGGAGCAGTCAGACCTCAGAGCCCACATTTTTGTCCTGAAGATTTAAATTCTCTCTGATAAATAACCATAACTGGTACAAGGGCCTCAGGACGCACCCTTCTCCTTTAATACAGTAAAACCTGTGAAAGACAGAAACTGTAAAGCAGAAACCTGTCAGAGAAGGAAAACGCAAATATTTGCCACTAAAATGAGAGACAGAAAAGTAGTACGACTGCACCCTGTCAAAGGTGAAAAACTTGTGAGACTCGGAAAAACAAAGCAGTCCCATTGAGTTCTGGCTCTTACAGGTTTCACTGTACCTTGCCAAGCACGTGGAGGGGGCTTCATCTCAGCTCCAGTCTGTCATTATCAGGAGGAACTACATAAGCACAAACCTTTCAGAAATTCTTGCCATCTGCTCTCAACATTTAAATACAAGTGTACTATCAGCCACTTTCTCAGTTCTTTCTTACTCTGAGGACTTTTGCCCCAGAAGACTGAAATAAGGGAATGCCTCCTCAGTTCAAGGAACCCCACTTCTTACCCTAAAGCAGTGATTCTAAAAGTGTGGTCCATGGACTTCTGTGGGCTCTGTGAGGTCAAAACTATTTCCATAAGAATAATAAAGCATTATTTGCACTGATGGTGAAAAAGTGATGCAGAATAAAACTTTTGATGCCTTAGTGTGAATTAAGCAAGGCAATGGTATCAAACTACAATAGTAGTCATTGTATTTTTGTCCTACCATGCACTTGCAGTTGGGAAAAAAGAGAGAGAGAGAAAGCCAATTTCTTTAAACCAGCTTCCTTGACGCAGTAAAAACTATTTTACTAAATTTGGACACGTGAGTATACAATTTTTAATCTTTTGTGACAAAATGATAAATATGCATAAAGCACTTCTGCTGCATACTGAAGTAGGATGGCCTCTTACGGAAAAGTCACTTTTTTCATAGAAAAATATTTTTACTTGAAAGGACAATTAATAGATGAACTATGGTTCCTGAGACTTGGATATCTGGCTTTTTTTTTTTTAATAAACAAAGTGAACCTGTCACTTCAAGGAAAACAATTGACAGTATTTGTGGCTAATGATAAAATTCAAGCTTTTCAGTGAAAATTAAGATTTTTGGAAAGCTTTTGTCTGCCACCATGAGCTTGACAAGACATTTCTGATAAAATCACTGGCGATATTAACAAAAGTGACTTTATGATACTGTAAAATGAGTCAACATTTGGAAGACCTCAGTGAGCCAGTATTTTCCAAATGACCAACAGATGATGTTACAAAATCATGCATGGGTAAAAGAGCTATTCAAAGTGTAAGACAAACCAATGGAATTTTATGGAACAAAGCACAAAAAACTCATTGATTTGGTTTCAGATTCCATACTGCAACTAACCTCTAAGAAACTTGTCAAGTTTGGTGCAGTAACAAAGCAGAATATCCTCAATTATCTGAAAAAGCTACTAAAATACTCTTCCCTTTTCCACCTACATATCTGTGTGTGGTGTGGTAGGATTTTCTTCATATACAGTAAAACCTGCGAAAGCTGGAACCTGTGTAAGGTGGAAACCTGTCAGAGAAGGAAAACTCAAATATTTTTTACTAAACTGAGTGATAAAAAAGTGGTAAGACTGTACCCTGGCAAAGGCGGAAAATTTTCGAGACCTAGAAAAACAAGGCAGTCTCATCAAATTCTGTCTCTCACAGGTTTCACTGTACGTCAACCAACAGCACATACTGCAACAGATCGAACGCAGATGCAGATACGAAAATTTAGTTGTCTTAATTAAAGAAATGTGCAAAAATATAAAACAATGCCACTCTTCTCACTAAACTTTGTTTTGTTTTGAAAAATATAATTTTCATATAAATACTATCTGTGTTAATATATAATAAGACTTATTGTTTTTTTTAGTTAGTAAACACTTCTAAATTTCTTTCCTTTAATTTCTAGGATGAAAAATACTGACAGATATAACCCACATAAACAAAGTTCTCTGGGGTTGTCAACAATGGGGTCCTGAACCCAAAACGTTTAAGAATCATTGCCCTACATTAATCACATGAACATACCCTCTTGACTGAACGCCCTCTGTTAAAATTCTGCTTTCAGATAACAACTAGAAAAAAAATATAGATTTGGTAAGCAGAGTCAGCAATTTAGGAATTCACAGCAACCTCAAATAGTCTGAAATGCTTATGATTTTGGCCATATTTATATGAATATGTATAGCCTTGACTTTTTTCTTTGAAGTAAAATTTTTTTTTTTAAATGGTCTTTTGATGATAAATACACTTTATAGTGAACTGAAAAACATGAGCCCTCTGAACAGAGACCCTGGATGCCTAATTTTATTTAACAGTTCAGTTCAAAAGAGCAGACCAACTACAAATGTATTTTTCAGTTATTTATAAATATTGCTGGTATACCCTGGTAATTACTGGACACTGAAGGTTAATGTCAGAGATAGCATCTGGGCAAACATCTTTCAGATAGTCTTTCAGCCAGTCTTGGAAAATGCCTACCCAGAAACCAAGCCCTCAGTGGCTTTGAGGCCTCTGACAACCAGGCTCCCTTCTATACAATTGTCAAAACTCACCCCTCCCTCAAATCTACTCTCATTATGCTCACTGCTACCCAGACATTTGCTTACTCTGTTTGTTCCTCCTGCCTAGGAACAAACACTCTTACTCCTTGCTTTCTAAATTCTATGATTACAACTAACATATATGGACAACACACGAGAAGACCAAGGCCAACAAGGGTACTGTCCCTGAGTTCTTGATTCCAAATATAGTGTTTTATTCACCACTGAACTTAGCAGAAGGAAGCTGAAAACCACGTAAACATTTATTTAACTAAAAGGTACATGAATCCAAACTATGATGTAAGGAAAAAACAAATGCAAAAATGTAGTATCTTTTAAATAGCCCTAATCCTGTATTTAAGGAACTGTCATTAGTCCTGGGTACTATACTTGTAGAAAGCCATGAGCAAAGTCCAGAGAACAACTGGGATGGCGAAGGGGTTAGGTCGAATGAGAAATGATAGAAAAAAAGAGACGTTTATCCTCAAGAACTGAAGATTATGAGTGATATGGGCTGAGAGCAGTTTTCAAATATTTGAAGGGCTATCTTAATTTGGATAAGGAGTCATATTTATTCTTCCTGTGTCTTCAGAGGGGAATCTAGGACAAGAGAAAGCAAATGTCAGTTCACTATCTGGAAGAAGTTTCAGCAACAGACTTTCTGGAAGCGAGACTGGACAGTCTCAGGAAGGGACGTGCTGTTTATTTCTGGAGGTGTTAATGAGACTAAAGGTTCATTTGACAGGGACACAAAAGAAGACAGTCTTGTAACAAAAGAATGCCTGGACTCTGAGGTCTTTACAACTCTGGGATTTGATAACAACACTAATATCAAAATAAATTTTGAGGCTTAAGGAGGGCTCAAAAATTTGTCATTTTCATAAAACTGTAAGTATTTCCATAGATATGGTCACTACAGTTTTAGTACCATAAGAAGTCTAACAGAAAAGCTATGCATTTTATTCCCAACTCTGAGTTAAACTTTTATTTTTACTCTATTACTTCTTTTAGTCCAGCCTAATTATTTTAGACCCTGACTCTATATAAGCAATGCTATTCTGTCTGTATAGCTATTTGAAATTAAGAATAATAAATAAGCCATTCTCATCTTTTTATAAGTTTACAGGAAAAGCTACAAGTGCCTTGTAATTCCAGGACTTTCCTACTAATCTGAACTGTCATTTATAGGTGGAAACGCCCATGGAAATCACTCAGTGATATCTGATGTTTCCTGGCAGAGGTCACAGAAGAAATTGTGTACAGAGCTGGACAAATTGCCAGCCCTGGCTCCAGACTGCCGTCGCATTAGGATATCCTAATGCTTTCCAAAACAAACAAAAAATTCTCTCGAGAGGTTCATCCTCCTAGATTAAGTGATTGCTTTTTAGGTGAACATATAATGAACAAAAGGCATGATTTTAGCATGCCTTATATGAGATGCATGTAATACAGCAAGGTTTTTTACTCACTAGTTGAAATCGATGTCCAAAGCTTAGCCATTCTTTCTCCACAAGGACTTCAAATCCTCGAATGGTTCTATAGTATCCATCCAACATGAGCATGGCCAGGGAAGTTAGCTGAGCTGTGCGGTCCCAACCATCACTGCAATGTACTACCACAGACGTCTTCCCTGACTCGACCTTGTCAGCAATCCTAAGAGCCCCTGCAAGAATAAGCTGGAAAACGATTTTTTAAATGAAATTTTTAAAGAATTAAATGTGTCCTCCTTCAAAATTTACTGACAGAGATTTGTTAGGGATAACTGTCTCAGTAATATGGGAAGAAAATACATCTGCCCTTTCCTATAAAGAATTTTTGTAAATGGTACAAGATACATAAATCTTGCTTTTAAAACTAGAAAAACCTCATAAATTCAGACACCTATTAATTTGAACAATGAAATGTTCAAATGACAGGTACCTTTGGGTGGTAAAGAAATAAACAGTGTAAGAGAAAAGAAAGACTCTGTTCTAAAGAGATCTGTTTTTAAGAATCTTCAAATATTCTAGTATCATCTGTTCAAATAAAATAATTGATATGCCAACTGAATCATTATCTATTATTTAAAACAATGCTTATTTAACCAAATTAGAATAAGTACCTGAAGGCAATAAAACTGGATCTCTTCTAAAATATTATATAGCATTTTTTATTGTTTTGACCATAAAAGTCACACAGCAAACACAGTGTCAATTTTTAAAATAAGTTACTTTCTGTGATATGGTGTGCATAATATTCTCATCAAATCAGTATATTATCATGTCAATTTATCTAGGATCTAAAATAACTTTAGCTCATTTTTTTTTAAGTATGCAGAGACTCTACAAAATAACTTTTTCTGAAATTGATCTTGAGTTAAAACAAGACAGAATTAGACAAAACCAAAAAAGGAACAAAAAGTATAGTATTCTTAAAAACAGACGACACAGCCCCATTCTTCTCTGCAATGACCAGATCATACTTAAAGAATGGCACAGATCCACAAACACAGGTCACAATGAAGGAAAACAGGCTTACTAGGCTTGGAGATTCCCATGACAACCTCCTTTTGATCATAACTGTAGACATAGTCTAGAAATGGGTTCCTCTGAAGCAATCTTAATCTTGACTATGCATCAGTCATCCGTAAGCATTTCAAAATAAAAATAAAAAGATGCCTGGGCCCCATTCTCCAGTGATGCCAATTCACTACTTTAAGAAAGTTCCATCAATGACTCAAATGCATATCCAGACTTAAGAATCACTGAACCAAAGGTTTGTAAGAGCTGAAATGTTAGGACTGACCAGGGAGTTATCCAAAGTCATCACCTTAAGTAATTCATTCATTAAGTAACCATTTATGGAGTCCCTTACTATGTAACAGGCACTGCTCTAGGTGCTGAAGATACAGCACTGAACAAAACAGACATAGTGCCTGCTTAATGAAGTTTGCATTCTACTTGGGAGACCAACCATATGCAAATAAACAAGGAAACATACAGCATGCCAAATGGCAATAAGCGAAAAAGCTCCACACAGGGTATAGAGAGTGCTGGTAGAACTACTGTTTTGTATAGAGAGATTGGGAAGGGCCTCTCTGAGAAGGTGACATTTGAGCAGAGATCTGAAGAAAGTGAGCTGATAAGCCTTAAGGTTGTGAGGATTGAGGGAGGCAGAGAGTATTCCAGACACAACTGTTTCTCTTATACCTCTAAGGAAACTTGTTTCTCTTATGGCCTTTGGAGAAAACGTTGTGCCTGGTAGTGAAATGATCTAGAATTCTGAGAAGGGAAAATAGCAACTCATGTTAGTTCCAAATGAAGTCTTACAGTTTTATATTTGCACACCAAACACTATAATAGATGGACCACATGAATACGCTCTCTAATTGAGGAATGTCTAAACTTCGCTGCATTCACTCAATGGTAGAAGATAAACAGTAATAATAAAAATAGCCTACAATTATAATTCTCACTAGTTCAGTTTGGCCTTCTCTTCAATTTTGTCAGCATTTTAGAGATTTTACTGTGAGTGCAAGTCTGCTCCTTCTTAACATGAAAAATTGCATTTCTCGTTATTTCAGACTACTAATATAAATGTGGTTATGTAAGTCTGTGTCTTGGTAAGTTATGTTAATGAAATTCAGACCACATCTGAAAAAGTATATATTAACTATATTAACTGAAATCACAGTTTGGTGCTTCAAACATTATATTAGCAGGCTAAGCAAATTAGTATTTACATCGCGGACCCCAAATCATTTCACACTCAAATGGCATCATTTATTCAACTACTCCACCTCATTTCCCTGACAAGAATGGTCTTAACTTTACAAATCATGCACTGGGTACTTATTGTGTGTCTATTATTTACACAGATAGTGCTGCCCTAATTCCTGAGGAGGGCATACAAGAAATACGATTTATCCATTCCTGGTTTTCATGAGTTAGTGATATACTTTGTTTGACACATTAAAGTAATTAAATAAAGTGCAGAGCAGTACGTGAATAAGTGGGGTGGGGGGGTAAAGTGAAGAGTTCAGAGAAAATGGAAATGGTTGTGATCCAGGAAGACTTCATGGAAGAAATGAAATATGAACTAGGATCTGAGGGATGGGCAGAATTCAGATAAGATGGGAAAGAACAGGGAAGAAAGAAGTGCAATAGAACCAAATGCACAATATAGGAAACTAATTCAAATTATCAAAATGTAGAAGTAGTTCTAATTATCAAAGCAGCTATCTATTTTTCACTGTTTAGGAAGGTACCTTCATGTTGATTTTAATGGTAGACAAAGAGCCAATATAGACAAAGGAGCAGAGAAAATCCTTGTTTGATATTCTATAATAGTGTAAGAAAATAGTAATATATACCCACCTTAATGTGTTCTAGCCAGTGAGTAGATTCCAAGTTAGACAACCAGTGAGTTTCCTCAATGTTGGGGTACACAATCTCCTTAAGTTTTCGTAATGATTCTCTCATAACATGAATATTGTGGATATCCAGAAAAACTAGTTCTGCATTTTGATAGGCATCTTCACTTTCATAACCCCCACCCTTTGCCTGGAAAAAGGCACACATCACAGGAAATGATAAATGAATACACATCCACTGTATGTTGACACCAATGAAAAAGTATCATAGGATACCCAGCAGAATGAAAAATGAGACATACAATAGTGACTAGGAAAACCCCAAGGTCCCTAGGTGGAGCAAAAGGTTTGCGTTTGATTGCTAACCTAAAGGCTGGAGGTTAGAACCCATCCAGAACCTACCTGGTGGTACTGTGGACGATAGGCCTGGTGATCTACTTCCGTTAAGATTACAGCCAAGAATACCCTATGGAGCAGTTCTACTCTGTAATACACGGCGTCATCAACTGGACGGCAACTAACACCAACAGGAAAACCCCACAGGAAAATGTGGACGGCTTAAGGCAACTTAGCACAATCACTATCTCCTGTTCTGCTTTATAAAACAGGGATGTACACTCTCACCCAGGCTTCCTTACGTGGGTGTATAAAAATGAAAAAGGCTCCCACTAACCAAAGATGAGACAAATTTAACTTCAAAAAACAAATATTTAGAATGGATTAAAAAAAAATCAAATATGTGTAAATACACTGGATCATAACAATACTTAAAAAGTTAGTCATCTTCAGGGAATGACAGGGAGTACATTCATTACTGGGAAAATTCATAAATAGGGGAAAAGAATCAAGCATTTATCCTGTTTTTCTTATATGAACTAAATTACTGGTTAATGAAAATACAGATAAGACCAAGTGCATCTTTAGAGAAAGTTTACAGAAAGAGTTTAATAGCTGAGCAGGAAATCATGAAATTAGAATATCACCATTTTGCAACCCTTAATGAATTGATGTATATAAGTATTGGGCATCAGCTGTTGCTAACATTCCAAAAAAGAGAATCAGCCAGAAATTATGTGTCTCCTGATGTACCACTATACCAACCCCCAAAACCAAACCCATCGCCGTCGAGTCGATTCTGACTCATAGTGACCCTACAGGACAGAGTAGAACTACCCCCACAGGATTTCCAAGGCTGTAAATCTTTACAGAAGCAGACTGCCACATCTTTTCTTCCAAGGAGTGACTGGTGAGTTTGAACCACCAACCTTTTGGTTAGCAGCCGAATGCTTAACCACTGCACCACCAAGGCTCCCTCATACCACCTATAGCCTTGCCAAAAGGATTAAACCTAAATATGAATAAACCTCTGGATTTATCTGCCACATCTGAAGGGAATTCAGAGGACAGAACAAAGTTGAACCACATCATGAGCATGGAATCAGCAACATTTAGCCTATAGAATGTCCTACAGGTAAAATATGAGGAAAAAAAGATATGGGTGAAGGGAGGATTCAACTATAGAGGGTAGAGATATACATTTTGGTAGTAAAAGTATAAAGAAATGCAAGGAAGTGATTACTATAAAAGTTAGGACAGTGGTTACTTTTGGCAAGGGTAGAAAATCATTTTGATTGAGAGCTTGGTGGCTGGCAAAGTTTTAATTCTTGATATGGGTCATGGAGTCAAAAGTACATTTATCATATACAATTCATAAAGTTATTAGAAATGTCTTACAACTGAGGTAAAAATTTTTTTTATTGCAACAAGGATATATTCTTTTGCAAATTAAAAAAAAGGGGATTTCCATATAAGATACATTTGTGAATGACTAAAAAAAAAAGATGAGGAATACAATATTTCACCCTACCTCCTTTTCTGCCTTACATTCCCCTCTGCCTGGGCTCACCTCCTAGAAAACAATCCTAAATCTCATTCCTGCTAATTTACAGTATAAAGATTAGGGAGGGAAACAAACAGTTATTAGAAAAATGCATGACTGATCCTGGGCTATAGGCTTTACACACACATTATCTCATTTTATCTTTAAGCCCTATAACTACAGTATTAACTGATAATGTTTTAAGATACCATATCCCTCCCCTGACTCCTGTAAGGGGGAATATTTACAATTTAATAGGGAATGCCTGGAATTCACAATGCCCTCAAAAAGCTAAGCAGGATGAAAGTAACTGGGTAAATGCTCCACAATTAAAAGCATGATCACCCTGGTATGTTTATAACAGCAAAAAAACTACAAGCTACATATTCAACAGTGCTTTAATTAGTTATTATACAATTAAAACTAATGTTGTAGATAAATACTTACTGACACAGAAAGATACAGTGTCAATTAAAAAGAGAAGCTACAATTATCCCACTTTTGTTTACAGATACATGTGTGTGTACATATACAGGCAGTCCCGGATTACAAACGAGATCTGTTCCTCAGTGTGTCTTTAAGAATTTGCAGGTTTAAGTCTGAGCAGGTGCATATGGTTCTTATTTAGCCTTACTTTAGTGCAAGAAGGAGGCCTTGTGGTGCAGTGGTTAAGAACTCGGCTGCTAACCACAAGGTTGGCAACGTGAATCCGACAGCCAGCCGATCCTTAGAAATGCTACAGGGAAGCTCTGCTCTGTCTTACAGGGTCATCATGGGTAGGAATCGACTTGATGGCAATGGGTTTTTTTGGGTTAGTGCAAGAAAAGGCTAGAAGATTTTTCAATGATTTAAAAGCTGTATGTGCAGCAAGTGAAGGTGACTGTGATAAAGAATTTGTTACAAGTAGGAATTAGTTCAATCGAGTAGGGGTTTGTTCAATCATTGTTAAAAGTGACGGCAAATTTACATATCATTAAAGGACAAGCACTAGTTGTCCGTAAGAATGTTCATAACCCGGGGACTGCCTGTACACACAACTGGAAGTATAACCAAGATTTAATGGGATTTCTCTCTTATTTACAGGGTTTAGAGTGTTTTAAAATATTTCCTTCTATAATGTGTGTGTGTGTATATATTATTGGTGGTAAAAAGAGAGGTAATTTTTTAAAGCTAAGCCATTTCTCTTTCTCATTTTCTTTGGTAGACTGTGTCAAATGAATCAGAATTTATACTTCCAGAAATTTACTCTACAGCAGAAATCAGAAATATCATTACAGCTGCCTGCAAGTTCTTCAGAGACTGAATAACTTGTAGAGGTGGAGGGAAGTCAGCAGTGAATGGTCAGTGAGAACACTGTTTCACTATTCCTACAGCAGTGTTGTACAGGAACTTAAGCTCAACTCGTTATGAAGTTTGGCAAAAGGAGAAATAATAACTGCTAATAATTTACTACATAACTAAGCATATGGATATGCATTATTTTTTATTAGATGATTTTTTTGCTCCTAAAATAACCCTGATTTTATTATTCTCATTTTTCAACTGAGCAAATTAAGGTCTAAAAAGATTAAATAACTAACTCAAAGTCACACAACCAACAAGTTGGAAAGCCAGGATTAGAACCTACATCTTAATCATTCTAGAGTCTGAGTTCTTTCCACTACACTGGCCACACTCAGCTGATTCATGGACTTGTTATTACAAGCTTAATTACTGAAAATTAAGACAATCTCACCTTATTGGCAACAGCATTAACACTTGGCCGAGCATCGAATATAAAGATTTTATGAGACTGGGCATTGGAATCCATGATGGCTTGAAGGTATTTTTCATCTTCTTTACTTCGCTTCCCACTCACTCCTACCATGGGCTGGCTACATCGAGTGACTGTGGCTTGACTTTCTGGATGAATCCATGATAAAACCTTAATGGGGAAAAAAATGGTGACACAGGCTTCATATACTTCTCCTCAAAAACACTACTCTAGAGAGTTCTGCTTTCTAATTGGATCCAAAGCCTGGCCATGAAAGTTTACCTGAGGAAAAATCACCAGTTTTCTTCAAAGCTATTTCTTGCATCTGGAAAACTTGTTCTAATTCTTTCTTTTTTTTTTTTTGATTCTAATTCTTTAATCTGCTATTTATTTATGAAAGTCATAGATTATTGGGAAGTGTTATTTCTAGAAAAAAAATACATTAATATAGGCTAAGTAAACTCCACTTTTAAAGTATTATTACTTATCAGCAAAACTACCCAACTATAAGACCCTATGAATTTTTACACCTAAAATTATTTGAACTCATCTTTTTAGTACCCAGGCATTCACCATAAAATTTGTGAAGTTTTGCTCTTTCTAGGATTTAAAGAAAAGTGAGTAACGCACAGGGCCAACTTTGTTTTCCAGTTAGAAATCATGCGATTCTATGCAGGTCTCTAAAATCCATGTCATACTCTCCAGAGAGCTCTTAAAGTTTTCCCTCCAGTTTTAGTTTTACTAGATAACTCAATCTCTGATAAAAGTCCTGATGGTGTAGCTACTTTTATCCTGCATCCTTGCTTGTGCTCTGCTTTTTGTGTGAGCTCTCCATTCCCCATTCATCAATCTCAGTATTATGTATAGTACAAACACACGGGCAAAGTTATCAAAGCTTCATACTTACTGGGATACGGCCCCTTGATCTGAAGGATGCTACTCTCTTTAATTCTTCATCAGGAATATTTGCTGGCACAACCAAGAGGGCAGGGTATGTATCACACAGCTCATATCGTTCATTTATCTTTGTTATCCTCCAGCTTTCATTAGGAATTCCCTAGACGTGAAATAAAACATAAGACAAATTACTACTTAATTAAAATAGTAAAAGATACCAGAAAAGAAGTCATTCTATTCAACCTCTCTCATCTCCACTGTCCATCTCTTGAAGCAGCTGGGACAGTTATTGTATCCCTGTGGTGACCGGGACTTTAGGATTAGGAATTGTAATGTAGGGATCTCTGTGTTCATTCTAGCATCCAATTATATGTTAACGGATTAAATATTGATTGAGTGCTGGGTATGTTCTAAGTGTATGCCAGAGGAAAGAAGGAAGCAGGAAGAATACAAATGCTACTTGTCTTAAAAGAAAAAAAAAAAATCTCATTCGGCTTGACTGGATAATTGGTTTTACTGTCATTCATCTGTACAAAGAGATTTTGAAGGGCAGGCATCAAGCGTCCACCAGAATGCTCTATAAATAGTTATCACTTACACAGCTAAAGTGCATTTTCACTCCTACGTTAGAGTACTAATGAGAATGCTGTTAATCTAAAACATTAGAAAAGGAAGCAATGAATGCAAAAAGAAGATAATAGTCAAGAGTAATACTTAAAACAACTTTTTAAAACACATCGATCATTAAGCTTTCGTTTGCCCTTTCAGTATCTCCATTTTATAAATAATATACTACTTTACATATAGTACCAGTACCAGTTGCCACTGAGTCAATTTTAACTCATGGTGACCCTAGAACTACTTAATAAGACACTTGAATTATTCCATCCTCCATTCTATAGAAAAGAAAGCTATTATATTAAATGGTTGGAATTAAGAAAATTTTTTTAAATTATATGATCCCTGACAACTCAAAGCATGTCATCAAACAAAAAAGAGAATTGAAAGAAACCAAATTATAGTTAAAAATACATTTATTGAGCACCTACTATGTGCAGGCATTATTTATACCAGCCTCTTTATATAGATACACATTACTGTATTCAGGTTTTATTAACTTCATTTTGTAAATGAAGAAACTGTGGCACAGACTGTAACTTCACCAAAGCTATACATTAGGAAGTGGTAGAGTAGGGAATTCCTATACATTTACTTAAATCTATCCTCTTTATATAAAACTACATTGTTCCTCAAGAAAAAATCACTAACCTGGTTCACTAAATTGTTATAAAAATATGAAGTCAAAGGACAAGATTCACTCCCCTTTAGAGCAGTATTTCTCAAGCTGTTGCCAGAACACCCAGAAAGATATTAAAATTAGGAAGAAAGAGGAAATTCCTTTCCAGTAATCATGTGGTAAATACTATCAATAGAGTTTTCATCTATCCTTAGCCACAGTCTGTTTCTTCATTAGCACCTTACATCCTATTTACCCCATTTTATTAGCCTGGTCCCCAACTTGCCGCCTATGTTCTCCATCTCTCCTTCCTTTTTGCTTTCCTCAATTTTATATACACTAAAAACCACTGTTCAGGTAAGATTGTTATTTATTTCCAGAAATAGAAGATTTAATTAGAGGTTTAAAAAAAATTTATGAACTGTCATTAAAAGTACTGTCACTTGACAAGTCTAAAAAAGTGGTATTCAAGTGAGGAACTTGGATATCATCTGCAACTTCTCCACTTATATCCAATAAATGACCAGTTGCTATGATTTTTATTCCAACAGTACCAGACAAGAGAAGTTTGCCTGCTTCTCTCCATCTTCACTACTACTTCTCTAATTCAGGCCATTATCACTTCTTCCCCATCTCTACACTGCCTCCACAGTAATCTTTGAAGATTCAAAAGTGAGCATGTCATTCCTCTGCCTAAAATTCTTAATGGCTATCTACTGTTTTTCATATAATGTATAAAATGCCTCATGGGACTTAGCAAGGCCCTTCACAATCTAGCTTTCTCCAGACTGATGTCTTGCCACTCTACACTCTAGTCCAGCACACACCAACCTACTTTCAGTTCCCAGATGGCTTCATGATCTCTCACTTGAGGACTTGCTCTATCAGACTATCTGCCACAGTGTATTGTAATTGTTAGTTTTCTTCTTTGAATTCTTCATTAAATGTAAGCTCTTTGGGAGCCAGGACTGTGTCTGTCTATTTCATAGTTTTAGCCCCAAGTATTTAGTAGTTACTGTTAAGAGTCTGATGAATGAATGGGTGAATATATGAATGAATAAATCAATGAATCAAGGAAGCTTCCATAAGAACCAAAATTAGTTTCCGAAGTTTTCTTAGAACACTTGCAGTCTGAGGTAAGAGGATCAGATCACCCGAGAAACATACATCTCCTGAGATTCTGAAACACCATCCTCTACCTTAGAAAGGTACTATCATCTCTCTCCCACTCTCCTTCCCATATCCTGGAAAAATCACTGTCAGAGAGAACTACTGTTACCAAAGGAATATATCACATTCCTCAGGTAAGTGGCAGGTTGGGAAAAGGAATAAGAATCACTAACTTAAACTGCTTTAATGGCTATTGTCCTCTTCATGCTTAGATAAATCGACAAACCTATCTCCACTAAAGGAACTGCCTTCTAAGCAGAAAACTAGAGTTGGCTAGTCAGTATACACTCTCACTTAGACAATGCTAATGACATAATGACAGATGTTGATATTTGGTGTCCATTTTCTTACCCTCTATTCAAATCTCTGGAGCCCTGGTGGTGTAGTGCCATGGCTGCTAACCAAGAGGCTGGCAGTTTGAATCCACCAGACACTCCTTGGAAACCCTCTAGGGCAGTTCTACTCTGTCCTACAGGGTTGCTATGAGTTGGAATCGACTCGATGGCAAATGGGTTTGGTTTTTTTGATTTATTCAAATCTCTGTCCTTCAGTTAGTGTATCCATTTGTCAAGCCCTTCAGTTAATATATAAGCCCTGGTGGTGCAGTGGTTAAAGCACTCAGCGGCCAACCAAAAAGTCAGCAGTTTGAACCCACCAGCTGCTCTGCAGGAGATGCGGCAGTCTGCTACCACAAAGATTTACAGTCTTAGAAACCCTCTGGGGGCAATTCTACTCAGTCCTATAGGGTCGCTATGAGTCAGAATTGCCTCGACAGCAATGGGTTTGGGTTTTCAGTTAATGTATCCATTAGCTGGAGTCAAGTTACAAACAAAATAACTGGAGTATAGTTTTCCTTAGTTACTTATGTTACAATTCTGAGGATAAATTCTGATTTCCTTGACTGAACTTGAATGCTTTCCAAGTTTGTTTAGCAATACATCTAACTTACAGTTGGGTATTTCTTCAGATCACGCTCGTTGTCTTTATACTGAATTTTTACTATCTTAGAGAAATGATCATTTTTCTTGACCTATCCTCAGAGTCCAGGGTCCTCTTCCTAATCACTACATATGTCAACAAGTAAATTAAAGAAGCACTCTCCTACATAAAAAACCAAAAACCCGTTGCCATTAAGTAGATTCCAACACATAGCACTCCTACAGGACAGGGAAGAACTGCCCCATAGGGTTTCTAAGTAGTGGTTGATTGATTCGAACAGCCAATCTTTTAGTTAGCAGCCTGAGATCTTAACCACTATCCCACCAGGGCTCCTACTCTCCTACATAACAAATTTAAATACTATTAATAGTGTTGCCCATTTATAAAATATATAGGGCAAAATACTGGCAGGCACTGCCCAAACACCATCACCACTTGTAGCCACCTGGAGCTGGAGCATGCAATTCAGACATATGACAGATACCTAAGGACTGGGAGGAGAACCTGCTTCTTTGGGACACTGGGGCATTCAAAATCACCCTTGTATACAGGGAAATTTAGAAAGCCACACACATGCCCAAGGCAAGATGCGTGCTCAGAAAATATCTGAGAAGACCGTATGCTTTCACCTCTGGCTGATCCATAAGTTTTCACCTCAGGCTGATCCCTATGTTTTTACATCAGACTGATCCCAAGGCTCAGTGCAAGCCTGGCTAAGTGTTGAAGGAAAGCCCTGGCACAGAGCCAATCTATAAAGATTGAGAGAGGTGTTTTTGTTTTGTCTTGTTCTCTGTCAAAACAGTAGCTGTACATAAACTAAGAAACAGAGACTTCAGCGACTACTCAGGTCCAGGAAGGCAGTCTTTGCAAAAATAGATACGGAAAATCATGAAAAAAATGGACTACTATAGTTTTCTACAATCAAAACAAAACAGCAAACCCTGGGGGAGGTGGAGAGCCTGATTTCTAGAGTTACATTATAATATGCAAATGTTCAGTTTTCAACAAACAAATCACAAGGCATATAAAGAAGCAGAAAAGATGTACCATTCAAAAGAAAAAATTAAGGGACAGAAATAATCCCTGAGGAAGCCCAGACAATGGATTTACTAGACAAAGACTTTAAAACAACAGTATTAAATATGCTCAAAGAGCTAAAAGAAAACACAAAGAGCTAATGGAAATCAGTAAAACAAAGCATTAATAAAAAGAGAATATCAATAAAGAGAAATTATAAAAAGGAATCAAACAAGAATTCTGGAGCTGAAAATTACAATAACTGAAATAAAAAATTTACAGTAAGGAGTTTAACAGCAGATTTGAGCAAGCAAAAGACAGAATCAGTGAGTCTGAAGAGAGAATAACTGAAATTATAGAGTTTGAAGAGAATAAAAAAAAAAGAAGAAAAGTAAACAGAGTCTAAAGGACTTGTGGGACACCATTAAGCAGACCAACATAAGCATTATGGGCACCTCAGGAAAAGAAAGGAGAAAGAGACAGAAAGAATACTTGAAGAAATAATGGCTGAAAACTTCCCAAATTTGATGAAAGACATAAATCTACACATCTGAGAAGCTCAATGAACTCCAAGTATGATAAACTCAAAGGGATCCACGCTGTGACACATTATAATCAAACTGTCAAAATCCAAAGACAAAGAGAGAATTTTGAAAGCAGCAAGAGAGAATCAAATCATCACATACAAGTGATTCCCAATAAGATTAAATGCTGATTTCTCAGTAGAAACCATGGAGGCTAGAAGGCAGTGGGATGACATATTTAAAGTGCTGAAAGAACTGTTGAGATTACCTGGAGAAGGCTACCAATAGGAGTTAAATTTTTATCTGTATATAGCATAATACAATAGATATGAATTTGTGTTAAAACGTAAAGGAGGTTATTTCTATATTGGTCACTGACCAACGTAAGTCAATGGTGTCCTTAGCACAATATTATCAGAAGTATAGTATGTCCTCTGTTAAGATGTAAAACTTTCAAAATTTTATGTGGTGATAATTTACAAGTAACAGAATTATTTAGATATTTTTCATAATTAAATTATAGAATACCAGAATTATTTAAAAAAAAAAACAAAAAAAAACTGCTGCCATCCAACTCATAGCAACCCTACAGGACAGAGAAGAACTCTCCCATAAGGTTTCCAAGGAGCAACTGGTGGATTCGAACTGCCAACCTTTTGGTTAGCAGCTGAACTCTTAACCAACGTGACACCAAGGCTTCATACGATACTCATATAGGGAAAAATCTAAGTAAACAATGTCGAATACATATAAAGATATTAAAACCTACATATATTTACCATTTCTTTTTATTTATAAAAATGTTAAACATTTTTAAAATAAACCAATATACTTATAAGTAAAGATTCATAAAAAATCATTAACATATTCTGAAAGGGAGTTCAAAAGAAACTGAAAGGCAATCAAACAATCAGGATCAGCCTTCATTTAATAAATAACAACAACTTAAAAAATTAAACAACTATACAGAGCTGCTTACTTCTACCCATTAAGTTTTCTTTGTAATAAAAATAACACATAATACTAAAATTCAAAAAAAAGAAGTACATACCTGCCGTCTATACTCTAAAAGAGGATCATACACCTTCCACCCATTTTCAGGGAATACTTCTTTGTATTCAAAAGCAAAAAGGGGCTACAAAAAAGCAAACAGAGTTAATAGCTGAGTAAGATGTTTAAGGAGACAATGAATCAGAAACATATCCTTATCATACTCGAAGTTTTCATTTTCTTATCTGTGAGGGTATTTTGTACTGATGTCCTGTTCTGTATCATTGTTTTATAATTTTGAAAATTTATTTTTTTGTATATTTTTCAAACATATAGAGAAGCACAGAAACCCACCACTAAGATTTATCAAAATTTAAAATATGATCTATTTCCTTATCTTTGGTAGCTGTCATAAATTTGCTTCTCAATAATGGAAGAAATTACATAACAAAGACATCTTCTGATATAACTAACAAATTTGACTTGCAGATATCAGTAGGTAAGCAGCTTTAAAGTTTATGCTATATTTTCTAAAATATTTTAATTTTTTGGCATGTAATTAGTGATCTGGGTACCCACAAAAAGCCATTTAAATTAATCATTTTCATAGACATGATGGCAGAAGCAACTATGATGTAAAAGAACAACACTGAAACTGATATCAGAAGACCAGTGTTGATTCCAAATTTTACCCTCTACTAGCTGTCTCCTTGAGTTAATTGCTTACCATCTCCTAGTTTCATCTCTAAATGGGAATAAATAAAATAATACTTATCACCATTGGGCTACTGTGAAATTTAAATGATATAATGTAAATGAGGGAGTTTAACACCGTTAGTAGCACATAGTAGGAACTCAGTAAGTGTTTGCCTTTCCTTCCTTCCCAAAATTGCTAGTCTTTATTCTAAGATCCCAAACGCAAGGGAGGTTTCAAATCCTAATAAAGACATACAGCTTTTCATCATGGAAACACCATGGATAGGAAGATCATAGAATTATAGAATGTACTGAAATGAGTCTCAAAAATCAGCTAGTCTGGCTTTTTCATTGGATACCTTAAGAAACTGGTCCAAGAGATTAAGTTAAAACTAAATTATACATCTGGTTAAAGGGCAGAGCAGGAACATAAATGTAGAGACCCTAGGTAGCCTAGATAAGTTTATTTATACTACACTAATTACTATAATATAGATATTTTAAAGATAAGAAACATTTTACCAGGTTATTAGAGACAGGGAATGCGTATTTCATTAGATTCTCAAATATAGACCTTCTTGTTCGCCCCTCAGGTTTATGGGCAAACCGTAAATTCCGGATATCCTAGAAAAGATTTAGTATCCAAGTCAATTACAGTTCATTTTTAATTTAAGGAATAAATAAGGTTACTTACAATTATTATGTAAAAAATTAAGATTCATTAATGTGGGATACAAAAATAAATCAGACAACAGATCCTGGAGGCAGGAAACTTATGATGATTTATTGGGAGAAATAAAAGGAAACACAAGGAACTTTAATACAAGACAGAATTCAAAGGGCAGAAAATTTACCTCTGCTTATGGATTCAAGACTGGCCAGTGAAAGAGGTAGCATTTGATATAGGCACTGGAGATTAGAGGTATTATATCTGAAGCTTAATATCATGACTGATATACATTATCAGCATGTTTTTTTCCCTGAGAAAGCCCATTTTCTGTCATGAATTTCCCTACTAAAAATCTGATCAGCTGTTACTACATTTCATATGTCTCCATTCCCATTATGTCTGGTGATTTATTTTCCTACCTAATATCCCTACCCAGGACTATTTCCACTGGACCTTCTCTTCATAAGTCTTCTGCTGCTCGACTAATAGAACCAATCCCTGCCTAAAGGTCTTTCTCTATTACACGTCCAAGTTCTTCAACCAACTACTGACAAGTGAACTCTGAATGTTGTTGTTGTTAGCTGCCGTCGAGTCAGTCCCTAACTCATGGCAGCCACGTGTAAACGGAAACAAAACGCTGCCCAGTGCTGTGCCATCCTCGTGATTGGCTATAGACTGGACTGTCGTGATCCACAAGGTTTTCACTCGCTGATTTTTGCAAGTAGATCGTCAGGCCTTTCTTTCTAGTCTATCTTAGTCTAGAAGCTGCACTGAAACCTGTTGAGCATAATAGCAACACATAAGCCTCCACTGACAGACAGGTGTTGGCTGTGCATGAGGTGCACTGGCCAGGAATTGAACCCAGATCTACTACACGGAAGGAGAGAATTCTACCACTTAACCACCAATGCCCCCTGAACTTTGAAACAGTTTAGTTGATATCATCCAGGTTCTAAGGCTGAGTTTTTATAAAGAGCAAAGCTCCTTTCCATTATTTGTCTTCAAGAAAGTTTCTATGTTCAGGCTGAATACAGATATTCATGCTCTTGCTTAGTGACATCTTAACAGTACTTAGAAAAAGTATGGAATTAAGAATAATTTCAAGACTACTCATTTTATTTAAATGCTTTAACGTAGGCAGAATTCAAATTAGCTTTATTATGCCCCATACTATAAAACTGAACAGAGACACTTCATTACTTACAGCAACAAATTTTTCATATAGACGCCATGTTCTAATTTGAGGATATATTCTTAATGACAGAACTTGTATCAAATAAAGCTAACCATATGGCCAACAATATGTCATAAAAACAAATAACTCTGTTGCTTTCCACGTGAATATTTATCTCACTGGAACAAGATTAGGAGCCCTGGTCACACAGTGGCTAAAGTGTTTGACTGCTAACCAAAAAGTCAGTGGTTCAAACCTACCAGCCACTCCCTGGGAGAAAGATGTGGCAGTCTGCTTCCATAAAAATTTACAGCCTTAGAAACTCTATGGGGCAGTTCTACTCTGTCCAATAGGGTCACTGCGAGTCACAATGGACCCAACGGCAATGGGTTTGGTTTTTGGGAACAAGATTAGAAATACTAAATTTTATCTAAGTCCGATGAGTAGATAAAAATGGCCTATGTAAGTTCACTGTATAAAGGGAGCCACTGTACCTACAGTTCATGAACAAGTAAAACATCTTATTACAAATCTGATATAAAACTAGAATGTCAGCTTTGCTATCTTTTAAAAAACATCTAAGGAAACCTAAGCTGATGCCTTGTTTTTTCTCAGTAAATATCTCTATAACTAGTAGAGGTACTCAGAATCAATCTTAACCATTGACCTGCCTAAAAGTATCATAGTGGGGCCCTACAAATGTCTATATTTGTTGATAATCATCTTATTCCACAGAAAAAATTACATTTAAAATGATAAGATTTCAAAGTTATCCTCTCTCACCTTCTCATATATTCTATGTTCTATTTAGTATTAGAAAGAAAAGTGATCAGGAGAAGTATTATTGCCACATGGCTGACAGCTATTATATTCAACAGAGCCCTTTTGACTATAATGGAAAAGCACAAAAATAATTACTAGGTCATAAGCTTTGATATTAGATTCACAAAACTTCTAAGAAATATATCATAAAATATTTTAGCATAAGACAGTATCTTGAATTATGTATACACTGTTGTGTTTATGTTTTTGCAAGGGGTAGAACGGGAAATAAAAGGAAAAAAATGTGATCTTAAATTGAGATTTGTACAGGTGTTAATTAGGCCATAATAAGGAGAACAGTCTCCTGTGGAAGTGGTACATGGTATTAAATGCCTATGATTTAGTGGTAAAAATGTAACAAATACAATCTAAGTTTCATTCAAGAGACAATGTATTTAAAGAATGTCAGCAGATATGAAAACAGTGAAGGTCTACGATATCAAGTTTTCCCACCATTATTTCAGAGGCAGAAAAGGAGGAGAACTAGAAATATAAAAGATAGGTGATGATGAATAAATCATACCCAAGCCATCCACTACAAAGTACTATGTCTTAACTGCTCAGAGGCTCATGTTTCTGATTTGTAAATTAAAGGTAATCACGTCTATCATGCCCACCTCACAGGATTTTTATGAAGCTCAAAATGAAATAAAGGCTGTGAAAGTACTTTGTGTCCTGTACAGTACGATGCACATTTACAGTGGTCATTATGAAAAAATGATGCTATGAATATGTGAGTATCAAAATATAGAGATTGAATTGGGCCCCAAAGAAGTCAAATCTAATTTATGATAGGTACTTTTCTCTTTATTACTGAATGTTATTTGTTTCCTTCTACTAGAATGACATTTCTAATATGAAATTCGTTTGATATTTTTGAAACCAGTGTCAAATACAGGCCCTATTTAAAAGAAAGCTTTTCCAAATTGGATAAAATCATACACATATTGTAAAATGTACCTTGCACACAGTTTCTAGTCCATAAGAATTTTCACCTCGACTGGAAGCACCACCAATTTTTTCTACTCTACTTATCACACCAAGAGAAGCATCTAAAACAAATGGAGGGTCCTAAATGAAGGAAAGGAAAATCAATTAAAACTGAACAATTGATACTACACAATTATAGCTGAGAAAAATCTTAATCAGAAATCCTTTCATTAGGAATGATCAAAGATGAACAAAACTGGCTGTAAACACACAGGTGTACATACAAAAATCTAATCCAATAACAAGCTTACCCGTTCCATGCTTTTGAAATATAACCTGTAATTTGTGACAGTTAGGGTTCCTCGTACAGCACCAGTGAATGGACATATATAAGTTACATCTTTGGCTGAAAAGGCAAAAAGTCCACAGTTTACTATACGTCGTACATGATTAAAAACTGCATTCTCATCTGTTCACAAATAAAACTTAACAGAATTCTGACTGGTAGTCTAATTTATGCTCAAAAATCTCAGGATCAATGATTCATAGAGACTTCAGAAGCCTAACTCAAGCTTCTAATCATGCAGTAATTTGGGGAAGGAATGTGGGAAAAAGGGAAGGATTGAAGAGGAGGAGGAACATCTCTTCCTCTGAGACTGAACAGGAGGAAACAAAGACGGTCACTATTCCTCTTGGATAAAACAGGTATGGTGCTGGGAATAGGGGTGGTGGTGTTGGTAACAATGTAAACAATACAAGGAACAGTCAAAGTTCATCTTATCACAGTTTCTGGACTGTCTCACCAATCTGCTGGTCTTCCTACAGCCACAATCTAGTTTGTCAACACTCCCCTAAAAATATAATACCCAAAACACACACACTGTATCAGGAAATTCTGACCATATAGTTGATCATATTTCTGGGGAAAGTATTACAGGTGAAATGAAATGGTGTATGATGTGATTTATCAGAGAAATAATAGTTAAGTAAGAGGATATTATATTCCTGACCAAACAACTGATATGCAACTTTCTAGAGAAAAATCATAAGCATTGTTTTGTTAAATGATAAATGATGAACCTAAACAGTATTATGCTTTTTAAAACATGGATTGATTAAATAGGATAATTCAGCTATAACTAGCTCAAAATAGTACTTAACATGGCAGAGCTCATAATGCTCAATATAAAATTTTTACATCTTAAAATATTCATAAATTCCTGCTATGCCATTATTGCAGCAAATCAGTAGATAAAAGAGTATCTTCATCATTCCAAGGAAGTAAGATGCACTACTCTGGAGTGATAAACTTCTAAGAACCTTTCTTTCAAGGGGCTTGTGGGAAAACTCAGGGCCATAAAATATGTTTAATAAGGTATTGCAACTTCCTGACTTTGCTTCTTATTCATCACTTTGAAGGACTGACTGCTTTGTACGGAATTTGAAGTGAGACTGATCTTTCAACAAACATTTCCAATCTTCAAAATAGTCTCTTGGGAATATTCAAAGCATGAGCTGTATTATTTTAAATCATTATTTCCAATGGATGGTTCACTTAGAGGGAAACTTTTAAAATCAAATAACTAATCATGTAAAGATGCACAAACTTGCCTTGCACACATTTTTTTGCCCTTAAGAATTAGGAAGGCCTTATTCAATGCTACTAAAAACATTTCTGGATTCCTTTTAGAGGCAGTTTCCTTACTCACACAAGAAAATTAGTCTTATTATTCTATATTCCACCACAGAACACATCCCTCTTGGGCCGATACCTTTTTTTTTTTTTAATTATACCTTCCCCTTTCTTCTATAATCAGGAGATAGTACACATGAAAGTGCTTCCAAAATTGAAAAGTACTCTACAAATATAAGAATTTACACCTATGTTATTATTATCATTGTTAGGCTCTGCTTTGTTCTGACTCCTCTATCCTTCCTCCTCAGGCTGGTGGCAACTAAGTCACTAAAGACAGAAGTTATGATCAGCAAAGTTTGTACCAACTAGAAGGGAGATTGTGCCTAGGAACCTTATTAGAACAAACGACAGCAGTAACAACTAGTATTGGTCATCTATCACTTCAGAGTCTACAAACTACTTTTCACCTGAGTACCTCCTTTAACCTTCATAACAACTCTTAAAGATAGAAACTATAATTATCTACAGTTTTTAGATGAGAATAGCAGGGCTCAGGGAAGTAAAACAAATTGCCTAATGTCTCAGAACCAGTAACTGCTAAGGTTAAGACTTGAATCCAATGCCTCTTGGTACAAATTCTTTTCACTACATCATGCTTCCTCTTGTTTCAAAACTAAGTCACTAACTTAGCACAGTCTGTTTAATATCTGTCTCCTGTGTGAAAGGATGAATTAGGGCTACATCTACTCCAGATGTGGTGAGGCCACAATACTCTGCGATTACTATTTCCTTAAGTTATCCCATTGATGTTTCTAACACGAACTTAACTTTTGCAGAAACATCTAAACTGTAGACTTACATCAAGCCAACTAAATAACCAAGATATTTTTCACATAAATTGATATATGCAAGGTTACCCTAACCTTATACTTTACATTTTCCCTATTAAATTTAAAATTTTGGCATAATAATCAAGTCCGTATGGATGATTTTGAATCAGGATATTTTATTTAGTATATTAAGTATTCCTGTAAATTTTGAAATAATAATACTGCCTAGTGATACCAAAAGTCCCTGGGTTGTGCAAATGGTTAATGCACTTGGCTGCTAACTGAAAGTCTGGCAGCTCAAGTCTACCCAGAAACACCTCGGAAGAAAGGCCTGGCGATTTACTTCTGAGAAATAAGCCACTGAAAACCCTATGGAGCACAGTTCTAACAGTTCTACTCTGAACACACATGGAGTTGCCATGAAAGAGAGACAACGTAATGACAGTTCGTGTAATTAGTGGCACCAAAAGATCTTAGATTTATTCATCCTCTCAAATTTCCACTGAGTTCAAAGAGGAGGAATCCATAATAGATTCTGTAAGGTATACCAAAATGACCTTGAAGAGAATACACAACTAGGAAGAGAACAGGAAATAAACAGAAATAAATGTAGTATGTGAGAATATGCAATTTGTGCAGAAAGAGGCACAAAAACATACTCTAAATAATACAGAGAAGGGAAAGTTCATTCACCTATGGGATCAGAGAAGTATTCAAGTAACATAAGGTAACCTTTAAATGGGCAGAGATGCAGAGGCAAAGCCTAGTCCAAGATACAGAAGTGGGAAAGTGAAGCATGTATTTCTACAAAGCCAAGTGTCTGGTCTGGCTCTCTCCTAACTTGTCTCCTACCACACTCTCTCTACTCTTTCTCAGTTTCCCTTCCTGGTTCTTCTCCTCCAATATAATTGTAAAATGTTAGCATTTACCAAAGTTATGCCTTTGGCCCTCTTCTCACTTCATGTATTCTCTGGTTTATTTTCACCCTCCCATTTTCACCCAATATCCATGTTCTGGTGATTCCTAAATATAGACTTCCAACTGATCTGTCTTCTAAACTACCGTATCTGTTTATTAGATATTTTCACTTGAAGTTTCTCATAAGTATATGAAATTCAGTATACATAAATACTCTACCAAAGGCTCATAAAAATGGAGAGAAGATAAACACAAGAAATTTCTTAGAGACTGATTCCTCCAAATCTGGTAACCAACTGGAAATAAGCGTTCAGAAAAAAAGGAGCAATTCACGGTGACTCCCAGAATTCTGACTTGAATGACTGGACAACTGGTGTTAATATTAACTGAGATAGAGAATGCGGGAAAAAGTAGGTTTGGGATTAAAAGTGATGATTTCAGTTTTGGAGATGCTGTATATAAGGTTCTTCTTATAGGCTATCCAGAGCCCTGGTGGTGCAGTGCTTAAGAGCTCGGCTGCTAACCAAAAGATCAGCAGTTGGAATCCACCAGCTGCTCCTTGGAAACCCTATGGGGCAGTTCTACTTTGTCCTATAGAGTTGGTATGAGTCAGAATTGACTGGATGGCAATGGATTTGTTTTTTTGGTTTTATGGGATATCCAAGGGCATGTGTCTACGAGGCATTTAAGACATGGAAACACAAATTTTGGAGTCATCAGAATATATGTGATGGGTAAAGCTACAAATTTAGATATGGGCAACCAAAGACAATACATAGAAAAGGGAAAGCATCAAGAATGAAATCCTAGGAAGTGTCAATATTTAAAGGAAGAGGAGTCAACAAAAGAGAATAAGTGGTAGAGAGTCTTTTATAAGACAAGTTATCATAGTGGAAACAGCATGGGCTTTAGGTTTGGAGGAGAAAAAAAAATTGTCCAAATGCTACCTCTAATTTGGCTAGCTAAATAATCTCTCTCTGCCTTAGTTTACTCATCTACAAAATGGGGTTCATAGCTTTCTCAGAAAATTACTGTAAGAATGATTAAATGAGACAGTAAGCACTCAATAATGATGATATTGTTAATATGTAATATACAGTGCTGATAATATATAATATCTAGCTCAGTAAGTAGTTTGGCAGAACTAGAGCCTAGGGTATACACGAGCTTGAGAGGAGAGGGGAAAAAAAAAAAAAAAATGGCTCACGTATTCAGTCAAGGGTCAAGAGCAAGAAGAGGCAAACATCATACTAAGTGCTAAGAAGTTAAATTTAAAACCTGTTGTGATCAACCTAATTCCGACTCATAGTGACCCTATAGAACAGAGTAGAACTGACCCATAGGGTTTCCAAGGCTGTAATCTTTACAAAAGCAGATTGCCACATCTTTCTCCTGTGGAGTGGCTGGTGGTTTCAAACAGCTAATGTTTTGGTTAGCAGCCGAGTGCTTAACCACTGCACCACCACAAGCCATTTAGAGGGTAGTTCCTGTCTTTGGCTTGTTTATTTTTACACAAGAAAATGACACCTAGCTAAGGAAAATTAAGCACTTAAATCCTTTTTTAAAAGTTATGACTGATAATGAAATGAAAGATGGTGTCTACTTTGGCTCAGAAACCATTTATTCTCCTAGTATACTACATTAAACATTATTTCTCAAAATCTATAGGTATTGTGTAAATTACCAACATGGATGATGCAAAGCAAAAGGACAGGGACAAAGGAAATAGCTTTAATGTTCGTTTTCAGTCTCTCTAGTCCATAAGTACCGTATATGCTCAGTTCTTTGGGCTGGAGTAAAAGGCACCTACATGCAACCTGCTTGCTTTGCAATGAGAAGGAAATATTTTCATCCAAAAACTCACCGGAGTTTATTATGAGTAGGAAAAAAAGAAAGAAAAGAAAGGAGGCAAATAAGAGAGAACATGTTTTAAGAAAATTACTTGTACAAAGTGGTAATTCAATGTTTATCTATGCAACCCACTATCTCAGTGCAGCCATTCAAAATAATGAAATTTTTCACAGAATTCAACTTTCCTGTTTCCTAGTAGTCCAAATATGAATACTACAAACAGGTCTAGACCTAGACTTGCAGAACACAGTAAGATGCTAGGAAGGCTGGAGGTATTGAGAGCTGCCAGATAGGAGGTGCCTCTGTATTCTTTGTACTGGATAGTCTACACACTCAGAAAGGAGAAGGAAATTAAATAAAAAATACTATTACAGACCCATGTCTTTAATATTTTCTCCTGGAAGCAAGGGTGGTTCTTCCATTTCTGCTAATTTGTTAGACTCCCTCAGGACCTGGATTGGATAAAGGGGAGGGAGAGGCAAGAAAAAAAAAGTTTTTATTCAAGGACTAATTTTGCACTTTAAAGTTATAACATCATAGCACATACACTATTTTAAATCAAATTATCAAATCTGTAGTATTGGCATGTATAACATCTGAGATTGCTGTTTTACTAGAAAGTATTAACTGAGTGTCTAATTTATGTCAGGTACTACCAGAAACATTTTATATATTTTCTCACTGAATCTTAAAACAGCCTTAAGAGGGAGGTGTTATTATCCCCATTTCACAGATAAGGAAAAAGAGACCAAAAATGGTAATTAACTTGTTCAAGATCACATAGCTGAAAAAGTGCCAGAGTCTGAATTTGAATTATAGTTCTATCTGACTCTAAACCCCATTTTCTTTCTGTTAAGTCATGCTGAAGGGCTACTGAGCTAAGCAAGGGCAACGTGGTAAATGCCACCTTCATTGCTAACTGTGGGAAGGATCAGCATGAATCCAATCTCCAAAGTGTAGAGATGGATCCAATCCTCAATTTCCGACTTCTCTATTCTCATTGCCGGCTGTCCAAGTGGCACACTCTACCTTCAACCCTAGCCACCCAGAGCTGAATCAGAACCCACAAATTAGAGGGACACCATCCTTCAGACCAGCTGCTAATGCAGCACTTCTTTGACCCTAGCCACCCAGAACTAGGTCAGAGTGCACAAGTTTAAAGGACACAGTCTTTCAAACTGCCAAACAGGAAGACATCAGCCCCTGCTGGCTCTGACTTTCCCTTTGGGTTTGATAATCGGCTGGAACAAATCACAGAACTTTACAGAGTATACCATACTTATGACTACAGATTTATTATAATAAAGGATACAAACAGACTGACAGGCTAAGATCTGGGAGGGGTTCCAGCACGGAGCTTCTACGTGCCAAAGGGACATGCAGACCCTTCCAAGAGAGATGTTCTTGCTAACCAGGAAGCTCCTCTGAGCTATGTTCAGGGCTCTTATCAGTCTCCTCATGTGGTCATGATAAATTACATCATGCCTCTTGAGGCTAGTCAACACTGGACCCCCAGGTGGCCCTTTGGTCTGATTAGCCTCATTCATTAGTCGCAGGTACGGTCCAACTCAAAAGAACCAAGAACAAAAGCCAAATCGCCTTCTGCAAGGTGATTCCACACCTCACAGCCATAATACATTTAAACTTGGATAAAATGCAAGTCCTTATGTAGATTTAATACCTGTTTGGAGAATTTGGAAATGATATTGATAACACTGTTGAAAAAGAGATGCTAAATAAATTATAATCATGATTAATAAGGGTTACTGAGTAGTTTACCTTGTAAAATATGCCGCACTGGATTCCAAAAATGCAAAGATATAGAAACCACAGTTTTCTAAAGGAGTTATAACCCAGAGAAGACAAACACAACACACAAACACCCCAAGTGGTCATATGCTAAATACATCCCCCTCCAGCTACTAAGAACCCCTCCCCACCTCTTTCACTGCCATACAGTAAGAGTTGTTGGTATTTCCTGTCTCCAGTTCTTCACCTCCCATTAATTCTTCAACCGTGATCTGGCTTTGCCATCCAACCTTCCTGGAAAACCTGCTCCCTCCTCAATAACCTCCTCATTGTTAAAAACAATGAACATTTCAGTCTTTATTTTCCATTATTTCTTAGCCACATTTGCCACTGCTGACAAAAGAACAAATATTTTATTATCCCACTTACATGAGATATCTAGAATAGACAAATGTATAGAGACAAAATTTATTACTGGTTACCAGGAGCTAAGGGACGAGAACATTAGTAGTTATTGCTTAAGGAGTACTGAGTTCCTGTTTAGGGTAATGAAAAATTTTTGGAAACAGATAGTGGTGATGGTTGCACAACATGGTGAATGTAATTAATGTCACTGAATTGTACACTTAAAAATGGTAAAAATGGCAAATACATATATATATTATATACATATATATTACCACAATTAGATTCTAAAAAGAAAGCTATATATAATACTGAACCTAGTTAATGATTTGCATTCTGAAGCATTTAGTTGGAAGTACACTGATGCCTGCAATTTACTACAAAATGCATCAAAAAGTAAGCTATATGGACTGACAGAGGGATAAAGAGGGATGGGCAGATGAATGCATATGCAATAATAACAAGCAGAGTGAAATGTTAATGACAGAATTTACATGATGGATATAGGTTGTTCCCTGTAAGCTTTTCTGTGTGTTTAGAGATTTTTATAATAAAATATTAGGAAGGTAAGGGTTTTAAACTTGACCAGTCATGTAAAGAAAAATCACTGGAGGTGTCTACTGGAGGCAGAAGACATGGTCATAGAGGTACACAGAACTGAACTGAACACAATAAAGAGAAAATGGTAATAATCTAGGAGAGAAATATCAAAATTCTAGATTAGTCTGCAGTAGTAGACATAAACTAGAATATGAGATACTTGTTGGAAGAAGTGATCAAATTTGACCCTACATTTATAACATAAATATAAGCAATTATTTTTGTAATACTTAATGGTTTTTACTTGAGATGAATTGCATCTCAAATATGTCAGCAATGGAAGAAGAGAGAAATACAGATTCAATAAAGTAAGGAAGTGAGGTTAAAACAGGAGAGGCAACTCAAAAACACCAGAGCCTACCTAAAATGGGGGTTGGGGCCTAAGACAGCAAACCTTAACTGATCTATCAGATTTTTCTGCACCAGCATAAAAATATCTTTAGTAGGAAAAAAGTTATATAACCCTGAGATATGAGAAGGACTGGAAAAATGTCCAGGAATATGCAAATCTCTTTCTCTTAGTTGAGCCAAAATAATGTTACCAAATGGCTATCCAAACCATTCACTATCAGATGCATCCAGAGCTTTGACTGTATCAATAGGTAAGGTCGTACAAGATCTGCTTTTTGATAGCATTTAATACAAAACTTAATTCTTTTCATATTATCAAGAGAAGTCTACTAATCATACCAAAATCTTACTGGTGAGGAAAAAAAAAAATCCATGAAGACTAAAATTTATTATTCTTTCCTTATTCCTAAAATATAATCAGTTCAGTTTTGCTCTTTCCCTACCTTTTTTTTTTTTTCTATTTTCTTCCATGACTAGTTCATCAAACTATTTTCAAACTGCTCAGTAATTCAGTAATTTTCCATGTGACTTTAACCTCCTTCCCTCCCTCCCTCCTTCTCTCTCTTTCTCTCATCAGGAACTTGCTATTAAATAAATTCAGAAAACTTGTCTATAATGATGATCTGGATGGTAGCAAGTTTATGAGTCAGTTTTCAGAGGGAACGGTCAGAAAAACAGGAAAGAATTTTTTTCAAATCTGAAAAAAACTAAATAATAACCACCCAAAAAGGAAAAATGAGTCTGTAAGAGTTACCAACTATCCTTCCCAGTTTCTTTATGTACTAAAATCCTGAAGGGGGTAAAAAGAAAATTCTTCTTCCTAGGAAAACTCTACAAAAAAATTGTTTACATCAATTTTATTTTTTCTATTTTTTATACAACTTGACTGACAAACCACAAGTGGGCAAATAAATCACACAAACAAATACCTGAACAGGGCAGAGCCACAGACAGGCATCTGGGACAGATCTAATCAGTTACACATTTGAAAGTACATCCAAATTCTAGCACAGGGAAACTCTTTCTTTTTATAACACTGTCAAGGACAATTTGATTTTCAGCTGAAACCACAATTAGTAAGAGCTGGGCAATATTACATCATGACTGATGCTTCCAAAGGAAAAAAGATAAGTATCTGAAGAAGAACAGTTTGGAAAGCATCACCTCTTATCAAGAAAAAATTTTCAAATTCCAATCTTAAAATACAGGTTGTTTCTAAAGCACACAGGAAATATGTTGAATGTCTAAGAGTTCATGGCATAAGATACAATTAAATAAATGCCAGTTCCTTCCCTCTCCTGCCAAGACATCTATAAATAATCCTGTATCTCTAAAGGGTAACACAGCAATCACTCTATCCATCACCCAAGTCACACTTTACTGCTTCTTTGACCCTTGTATTCAATTAATTTATAACTCTGATCATGACATGACAGCTTCCTAGTGCAACTGCTGAGTAAGCAACTGATATAAGGGAGTAGAGACCGAGAAAGAGATCAGGACCAGAGGTAAAAATGACGCCGGAGATCTTGTGATAGAATTTTACAAGACCAATGACATATTCATTGGAAATACATATTTTCAACATAAACAGTGATTATACACGTGGACCTCACCAGATGGAACACAAAGGAATCAAATCGACTATGTCCGAGGAAAGAAACAATGGAGAACCTCAACATCATCAGTCAGAACAAAGCCAGCGTCCGACCAACTGTGGAACTGATGATCAATTGCTCATACGCAAGTTCAAGCTGAAGCTGAAGAAAATTAAAACAGGTCTACGAAAGCCAAAGTACAACCATAAGTATATCCCACCTGAATTTAGACAGTATCTCAAGAATAGATTTGACACATTTAACACTAATAACCGAAGACCAGACGAGTTGTGGGATGACATCAAGGATATCATATATGAAGAAGGCAAAAGGTCATTAAAAAGACAGGAAAGAAAGAAAAGACTAAAATGGATATCAGAAGAAACTCTGAAACTTACTCTTGACTGTGGAGTAGCTAAAGCAAATGTAAGAAATGATGAAGTAAAAGAGCTGAACTTAAGATTTTAAAGGAGGACTCGAGAAGACAAAGTAACAAAGTAAAGTATTATAATGCCATGTGCAAAGACCTGGAGTTAGAAAACCAAAGGGGAGAACACGCTAGGCATTTCTCAAGCTGAAAGAACTAAAGAAAAAATTCAGGCCTCAAGTCGTAATACTGAAGGATTCTACGGGCAAAATACTGAATGATGCTTAAAGCATCAAAAGAAGATGGAGGGAATACACAGTCACTCTACCAAAAAAAAACTGGTCAAGGTTTAACCATTTCAGGAAGTAGCATGTGATCAAGA